CGCCCCAGTCTGCAGTCCCCCAGCCCGGGCCCCCTCCTGGGCCCCGTGCCGGCCAGCGGGAGGGTGGACGGAGGTCGGTCTGCAGGGACAGGGGAGCCGGCTCCAAAAGAGGCTACCCTCCCCCTCCGCCCCTCCCCCCAACAGATTCCAGAGACGAGCTATCTACTTAGAATATTTATTTATCTTCTCACAGGACAAGACACAAAAAGTTACAACTTCTTAAAACTCTTCAAAAGAAAAAATATAATTTTGTAAGCAGCAGCAGCTTCCAAGGTACAGATGTGGTGGGAGAGGGCAGCTCCCAGGAACCGTGAACTGGGGGGCCCAGGCCTGAGCCCCAGGTAGTGTCACCGGGAAGGGGCCTCCGAGGGCGGGGCCCGGGTGGGGGTACACAGCACCAGCACATCAGATCAATCACCGACACAATCACGTGGCCTGGGGCGGGGCGGCCGCTCTGATTCGCGACACCAACGGAGGGGGGCGGTCCAGGAAGGCAGAGCTTACGGAGTGTAGTCAGCGGCCTTAGCAGAGGCCCCGGGAGTAGGGCGAGCCCCAAGAGAGCTGAGGGAGCAGGTGCTATCCCCGGAAATAGAGCAGGTACCCCCAGGCTCCATACTGGTCCTCATGTCTGCCCTCCCCACTGGCCAATCCTGGCGCCGGAGGGTGGGGGGGGGCGGGTCTCAGAAGAGGGGTTTGCTGAGGTGCAGCAAGAACCACGCTGGGAAAATAAATTCCTGAATGGGGTCAGAAAGGAGCCCAGGGCGCACACAGCACAAACACACACACATTGACTGGCCATGTGGGTAAAGCCCGCAGCCACCCACTCCTGCCCTCAGCCCCATCTCTGAGGGGCCAGGCCAGTGGAAGTCTGGTGGACACAAACTGCTCCCCAGAACATTTGCACATGCACACAGACCTCACACGCTACATGCCCCCAGCCTGGGGTCGGGGGAGAGAAGCCCACCAGGAGGGGTGCTGGGTCCCACAGTGGAGTGGGGGGGCTTGCCCTGGGAGTCAGAACTCAGTGTGACCCCTGCCTGGGACTCCTGGCTCAATATGGGGGGCAGGAGACCCCAATCCTCCTGCAAGGCTGGCTGGGGGGGGGCAAAATGGAGTCCTGGCCAAGTGGAGAAGGACAGCAGCAGGGAGAGGCTGGACGGATGGACAGAGGGATGGACAGAGCACTTGTGCTCAGCAAGTTAATAAATAGGTTTGTGCGGGGTCCCCTTCGCAGACTAGGGGCCAAGCCTCGGGGACAAGAGCTGGTAGACTGGAGGGTAGGGTCCCACTTGCCCCGCCCAGGCCTGGGCGCCCCAGCCCAGAGACCAGCTCTGTCCCTGGGGGTATTCAGGCCGGGGCGGAGCTGTGGCAGGGGCTGGCTCCAGGAATGTAAAGATTTCTGCATTTTCTACATAAATAAGACATTGCTCCCAGTGGACGTGCAGGCAGGACCCCGCGGGGGCCGCTGTGTGCACCATGTGGACCCCTTCCTCTGCTTCCCCCAGTCCACGTGAGAAGGCTGGGGAGAGACTGTCTCTTGCTCAGTCCTGGGCAGGCCACGTGGCTCCGGCCCCACTCTGGTCCCACTCTGCTGGAGGGAGCGGCTGGCCGCTGTGCTCAGTGCTGGGGTCGCTGCAGCAGCTCCAGCAGCGTCTCTGCGATGCCCAAGAAGTAGACCACTTGAGCGATGCCAAACAGTGGGGCGATGACCAGGGCGCGGCAGTAGGCGCCCTTTAGGAAGGCCGTGGGGCCCTCGTGCCTCAGGATCTTCCTGTAGGGGGAGGGTGGTCAGGGCCGCTGTGCACCCCACCCCCCGCCCCGGGGCCATCCCACCGGGCACAGTCCAGGAAGCCCCAGGAGGGTAGTCAGGGCCGCTGCGCACCCCACCCCCCGACCCCCGCGCCGGGGCCCTCCCACCTGGCACAGTCCAGGAAGCCCGTGTAGGTGTCCTCGTTGACACCGCGCTGCAGTGATTGGAGCCTGGTCTTCACCACTGCAGGGGTATGCGGGTCAGTGTGGGGCCCAGCCCGCCTCCACCCCTGCCCCTGACCCAGGCCCAGGCACTGACCGTCACAGGGGTTGACGGCCACAGCAGCTGCACTCCCAGCCACACAGCCGGCCAGAAAGGACACATAGAAGGGAGCCTTCTCCCCCGATGCGGGACTGCCCAGCTGGTTCAGGTTGGCAAAGAGGGGGAAGTAGACAATGGAGAAGGGGACGTCCCTGTGTGGGGAGGGAGGGATGCTGATGACCTAGAGGCATATGGTGGGCAGGCCTCCCTCCTCCCGCCCTTACCGTCTCTCCCACCTGAGCAGTGTGGCCCCCAGGCCCTTGTAGAGGCCGGCAATGCCCCGGGTCCGAAGCAGGTCCCGGGTCAGCTGAGTAGCCGTGGGCCGGGGGGTGGCCGGAGCCTCCACGGAGGGCTGGGAGCCCCCTTGGGCCGACAGCTGGGCCTGGGCATCCAGTATCTTCTTCTGGGCAGCTGGGGAGAGAAGGGATGGGCCTGCTGGCTCCCCCACTGGGGCAGGGGATGTGGCTCCAGCTGTCGCCCCCACCCCAGCTCTCGGTACCCCCCACACCCTCACCAATGCGGCCTGCGTCCTGAAGCTGGATCTTCAGCATCTCCATGGGGGTGGTCACGATCACCTGGCAGGTGCCAGCCCCACAGCCCGCCAGCATCTCCTTCACCAGGGTCAGCTTCTGCCTGTGGAGAAGGGGTGAGGGCCGTGGTGCAGTGGCAGACCCAGATGCCTCCACCGCCCCGGGGGGCTGCCTGCTGCCCTGGACATGAAGTAGACTGGGAACGGGGAGGTGGTGCGGCCCTGGAGGGGTATGGCACCCGCCAGCCGCAGATACCCCTTCAGGCCTGCCAGCAACGGGCACCGAGCCCATTAGACAGATGGCCCCCGAAGCAGGGCCTGGGAAAGGTGGAAGGACCACAAAGAGCAGCGTGGAAGCTGCGGTTCGCAGGCACCCGAGGGGCTGCCCTCTCGGCCCCACCCTCAGGTGACGGGAAAGGTGGTCAGTGTCCCCCCAATCCCACCCTGGGGGCCGGGACCCCTGGGGCCGAGGCACCACTGGACTCGGCATCTGCTTCCTTCCCGGTGCAGGAGGCGGTGAGGAGAGGGAGGAGGAGAGGGGCAGACAGCTGTCCTTTGTGGCTATCTTTTGTCCGGAGGCATGGACCCCTCCCCTGCACGACTTTGGCTCACAGCCCCTCACCCATCCTTGGAGAGCTGATATCGAAAGAAGTCGTTAGCAGCCAGCTTGATGGCCTTCTCAGGGGTGACGAGGGTCAGGTTCACAGCGGCTCCTGTGGGGCATGGGGGGTGGGGGAGCACGGGGCGGGGGGAGCACAGGCAGGTCAGTGACGCAGGCTGGGGAGGCTCTCAGCCAGCACAAGCCTCCAGCTGGCAGAGCCCCGCCCCAGTCACTCCTTGGCTCCCCTCCTGCCCTCTCACCCACATTGGTGCCGGGCGGGGCAGGACCGGGCAGGGGCAGTGCCTCCTCTGGGCACTCCCCTCACCCTCCCTGCGTGATGGACCCATTCTGGCCTCCCTGAGGAACCCCTTCCCTGGAGGACCCCGGCCCTGGGCGAGCAAGAGCAGAGGGAGGCAGTGGTGGGTCCCTCCGCACCAAGTCTGGGCAAAGCCAGGCTTGGGGACTGCCTGCTAAGCGGCTTTGCGGTTGTGCCCCACCCCCTCCCCTCCGGTCTCCCCGCACAGATGGAGTCCCACCTGCCCCAGAAGCGGGGGAGAAGACTGCCACCGCACAGTAAAGACACTTCGTCCTGCCGCGCTGGCCTCCGCAGCAGGCGGAGGGGAGGGGCTGAGCTCCAGGAGGGCTGCTGAGAACCACCCCGCGCTGGAGAGCCGGGCCTGTGCCATCCACCCAGCACCCAGGTCTGACGGGCCACAGCAGGCACCGGCAGGCCAACCTGCCTGGCTCTGCCCGCGGCCTCTGAGGCTGCAGGAGGGCCCCCCACCCGGTGCCCAGCCTCACCGCGGTACATGCCGAAGTAGCCCTCCGAGCGGATGGTCTTGATGAGGCAGTCAGACCTGCAGCCGAGAGGGGGAGGGGGAGCCAGAGGGCTGGCAGCGGCTCCAGCCCTAACCCAGACCTGCGCCTCAGTTTCCCCTCTGGTCTATCAGGGCGGGGGACACAGGAGCAGGACTGGAGTTGAGCCGCAGCCTGCCCCCCACAACCCTCCAGCCCCCGCGCCCACCGGGCCTGCTCACATGCTGGCGTACAGGCGCTGGCCATTCTGCTGGTTCTGCAGCCTCGTCTTGGCCAGGTCGATGGGGAACACGCAGGTGACCCCAATCAGCCCGGCGATGCCGCCGTTGATGAGCTTGGCCGGCAGACTGGGGGGCAGAGGGCGCGTCAGGCCTGGCCTCCTCGGCCGCGGTCAGGACCACACACGGGGTGGGGTGGGGTGGGGTGAGGCCGAGAGCGCGAAGGCAGGGTCACCTTCTGACCTGATCTGCTTATCAGCCATTTAACTGCGTGCACCCAGGTAGCCGGAGAGGTGGACGCCAGCCGGGGGAAGACAGGGGTGGTGGCGGGCGGAGCGTGGGTGGGAGAGAGGGGGAAGGGGCGGTCCTCCACTTTCCGGGGAATTTCAAAACCACCGCTTCTGTTCTAGAAGAGGGTACGGGAGTCAGCAGAAGGAGGGAAAGACCACTCAGAGGCACACCAGGGAAATAAGCTGCCCCCCAGGTCTCATGCAAGGGCACCGATCCCCTCACTCACCCGTGGCCCCATCCCCAGGGCCACCCAGTTTCCCTTCAAGGCGCCCCCGCCCCCGCGCGGCTTCCCAGCCGGCCTCGCTCACGCTCACACACACTCACGTGCACACTGAACGCGCACAGGAGCGCACCCTGCCTTTAAAGGGCCAGGCGCCTCTGGGGCAGTGAATCTGCCAGCCAGGCAGGTCAACCGCGGGCTGCGGTGACCCCCTCTTCCTTGAGCAGCTGCAGCTGGCGCCTGCCCCCTTCAGGATGGAGGCCGGAGGTGCTGAGGAGCCCCCCAGCCTGGGCTCGGCTCACAGCTACCCAGGAAGATGCTGCCGCGCCAGGTGCAGCCCCCCTCCACCGCTCCCATGGACCCCAGACAGCCCCTCCCCTCGGAGAAGCACTAGGCTCACTCACACCCAGCCCAGCACCCACCCTCCTGCCCACCCTTTCCAGGAATCCCACTCCCTGACAGACACAGACACACACGCACAGACCAGGTCCTCTGGAAGCACAGGATAGGGGGCAGTTGGGAAGGGGATACCGGACTGAGGCTCCCTGGGGTTAGTTCCCCGACCCACTCTAGGGCTTGGGGGAGATGGGGCCCCTCTCACTAAGGACAGGGCAGGAGAGCCAGAGCCAGCCTCCGGAGCCTCCTGTCCTGGGCCTCCCAGAGTCCCAGAGCCTTCCCCGCCGCCTCTTCCCCAGGCCCCCTCAGAGGCCAGCTGTCACAGGCTCTTACCCACAGCACTACCGCCCAGGGTCACCAGACTGGCTCACGCCCCTGGTCCCTCTGAGGACCGGTGACCTTCACCTCAGCTTTCCCAGGCCATCTGTTCCTGTGTCCCCTGCCCCTCCAGCCCCACCACCCCCGCAGGCCCCAACCCCTCTCACCCCAAGGAGCACCTCCAGGACTACAGCCTACCGGGCTCAGTAGCTGTAGACCCAGAGGCCGAGGGAGGGGCCCGCTGCGGGGATTGGCCGCTAGGCGGGGCGGGGCCGGCCTTGGTGAGGGGGGGGACTTTCTCTTTCACTTTGGGCTGAGGCTCTCTGCCGCTGTGGGAGAAGGGATGGGAGGGGGTGTGACAACTTCTGAGAGCCAGGGCCCCGCCTCGGACACCTGACCAGCCCACAGGTGTCCTAGCCAAGCGAGGGCAGCCGCCCACATGAACCCCAGCCCGAGGCCGCCACGACCCTGGATGCCCCATGAGTTCCCATCTGCAGCGCACAGGCTGCATCTGTCTAGGGCTCTGGGACCCAGAGGATGGGGCGCTCTCTGTGCTCAGATCCTGTGTGTGGACAATCTGTCCCGTGGGGGTGGAGATGGGTCTGTGCCCACTCCTGTTCGTGAGACCTATGTCTGTTGGATGAAGACACGTTTCATGGAAACCGCACTCTGGGACACAGGAAACAATACACGTCTATTAAAAAGCTAAGGTTGGGATGCCTGGGGGGTTCAGATGGTTAAGTGTCGCCTTCGGCTCGGGTCATGATCTTGGGGTCCCAGGAATGAGTCCCTCATCGGGCTACCTGCTCAGCAGGGAGCCTGCTTCTCTCTCTGCCCCTCCCCTGCTCCTGCTCGCTCTCTCTCTCTGTCTCTCAAATAAAGAAATACTTTTTAAAAGGCCAGGGATGGGGCACCTGGGTGGCTCAATGGGTTAAGGCCTCTGCCTTCGGCTCGGGTCATGATCCCAGGGTCCTGGGATCGAGCCCCGTATCCAGCTCTCTGCTCAGTGGGAAGCCTGCTTCCTCCTCTCTCTCTGCCTGCCTGTCTGCCTACTTGTGATCTCTGTCAAATAAATAAAAAATTAAATCTTAAAAAAAAAAAAAAAAAAGGCCAGGGAGAGGGTGGCTAGGTGTCAAGAGGCCTGCGGCTGCCACCCAGGACTGCTCACCTGGCAGGTACAGAGGGCACGGAATGGGCACTCCCAGAGCCCTCTGCCTAGCCAAGGGGCCCCCGACGCACACACCCAGGGTATCTATCCCCAGCACCAGCTTCCCGGTGCCCTAGCCTGCAGATAAAAATCTGGCCTCTGAACTTCAACCTGATTCTCCCTCCCCACCCCCACCCAACCCACCTCCAGGTGGACTGACTACAGCCAGCTCAGTGGCCCAAGGCTGTCAGGGGCAGGGTCTCCCTGAGACCTAGCCCTGCCCTCCAGGGGACTGAGGGAGCCCGCCTCCCTGAATGGTACCAGACCCCCACCTTCCATCCAGGGTGAGGGACCCTGGGTGACGGGGGTCCTGGAAGTCAGACGGAATGTCTAACGTGAGGAGGGGAGCAGTTGTGTAGGGAAGAGGGGCAGGCCCAGGGATCCCAAGCCTGAGGAGACATGAGTCTGGGGTCTCACATGACATGCCTCAGGCCTCAGAACGGAGCAGGGAAGAGGGTCGCCCGGCTGACAGCGGTGAGAATGAAGGAGCTCCAGCTTGGGGAGACTGGCAAGGGGTCCACTGGACCCAGAACCCCCCTCTGTCGGACCTCACTCTGCCGTTCCCACTCCCTGCTCTGGAGACCTCTGTGGAACGACCTCCCCTGGGCACCTCGTGTTGCCGTGGAAACCCAGCCACCCCGGCTGGGGCTGTCAGCCCTCACTGCCCCCCACCAATTCTGCAGCCAGGTAAACTAAGAAGGCAGACAGTGGACAGCGCTGCCCACAGAGCTCAGCCACAGGATGCTGCTGCTCCTTCCAGACTCCCCAGGGGTAAAATCTCCCACAAATGAAGCCGCTGAGCTCCCCCTCGCTCAGCCCCCACGGAAGGCGATGGGGGTGACGATCAGAGCCTGGCACTGGCCGCTGGCTGCCCATTCAGTCTCCCCGCGTCCCTTCCCCCTGGGCCGAGGGTAGCTTTCCATCCTGTCGGAGGGGCCCCAACCCGCGAACAAAGGAGGCTTGCGGTGGGGGCTGCGGGCTCCAGCTCGGAGGCCGGCTCAGGCACCTCGTCCCTCAGGACGGGGTCCAGATGGGGCCCAGACGGTCACGCTGCCCCCGCCAGGCGACGGCGACTCCAGCCACGCACGTGTCCACACAAGTCCGGCGGGGTCCCACGTGTGCGCCCCCTCCCCAGCGGTCTGGCCTCCGCATCTGGGTCTCTGGCCCCAGCTTCCCACCCCGTGGGGCCACGTGTGCGCGGGGAGCGCGCCCGGCACCGCCCGGGGTCGAGCACGGCCTCCCACACCCGGGCGGCAGCCGGTCAGAGCATCGCCGGCCCCGGGACCTCCCCCGCTCCCCGCCCCGGAAACACCTCGTCGGGGCAGCTGTCACCTTTCCCGGCCGCCGCGGCGCCCCTGGCCGCCCCCCGCCCTCCCCGCAGCCGGGCCGCAGTCGGTGGGCGCAGCGGAAGGGAGAGGCCGGGCCGCCACTCACCGCGCGCTCTGCCGCCGCCGCCGCGCTCGCCTCCCCGCCGTGCCGCGCGCCTGGCTGCTCGGAGCGGAGGCGCGTCCGCCGGCTCAGCGCTGCGCGCGCTCCGCCCCCTGCCCCCGGCCCTCGGCGAGCGGCCTCCGGCTCCCCCTCCCGGCCGCCGCGGCCACTGCGCCGGCCTGGCCGCAGCCGCCCGGCCCCGAAAGCCCTTCCTGGGTCTGCGGGCCTCGCGGCCCCGCATGGGCCAGCGGCCCAGGGATTCGCCCCGGCGGGCCAACGGGTGGCAGGCAATGCTCGGAAGAGGGTGTCCTCGGGCAGGAGCGGTCCCCAGCCGCACGGTGGGCGCCTGGCGGGGACTGATCGGGCGGAGCACCTGCCCACCACCTCGGGTGTCGCGGGGCCCTGCACACCGGTGACTTTGTATCCACGGCTGCTACACCAATGTTACTTTGTAGCTGGAGCTCCTCCCCCTCCTGGGCACATGGCAGGAGGCAGGAGCAACGGGTGGGTGTGTGGAGTGAAGTCTTTACACAAAGTCCCCTCCTAGCAGGGTCCAGGCCTCTGATCCCAGGCCACCCCTTGCCTTCCACCCACTCGTCCACCCGACAAATAAACTGAACTCTGAGAAGCCACCACAACAGTACACATTTGTTACACACTGGAGGTCACTGTCCCCATACACGGGGCAGGTGGGAAAATGGGGGCATCTGACGGTTGGCCAGGGTACCTCAGGGGCCAGCCCCAAGTCAGTGGGGTCTAGGCCTGGGCAGACTCTGGGGACTGTGATGCTGAAGGCTCAGGTGGGGCAAGGTCCCTGGGGGCGAGGCTTGCACGCTGGATGCTGTCCTTGTACTTTTGGCGGCCGAGCTCCAAGATAGCCCTCACTTCTTCAGCTATATCCAGCCGGTCGCTCTGCTCCAAGGCCTGTACTAGGAGACCCACGGCCCCGGGCTGCCCTGCCTGGCGCTCAGCCCAGGAGAAGAGCATACAACGGATCTGACCGTCCAGGTCGTCCCTGGCAGGGAGAGGGAGAACAGTGCCGGAGAGGCCCAGCCTTCACACCCAAGGCTCTACTCACCATCCTCGGGGCACTGCTTGCTCCCTGGGTGAGCTGTGGCCAGACCCTCCCTTTCCTGCCTGTTTGCCCTGTCTCCTCCCACCCTGGACAGAACTTCACCAGCCTCACGTAGGCCTGGACCCAGGCCTGAGGCCAATCTGGAGCCGGCATCAGGATACCTAAAGGGACTCACCGGAACTCGTGTCGGATGCGCTGCAGCTCTCGGTAGGGCATGCCCAGGTGCAGGGCCACGGCCGGCCAGTCAGTGCCCAGGCGCCCAGCCACGTTCAGCAGGTTGCTCTGGGTCAGGAAGCCAGTCTCAGCATCACCCAGGTTCAGAGGAGCCAGGGAGAGGCTAGCCCCCCGGCCCTGCTCTGGCCCCTGGGACCCCCGCAGTCTCTGTGAGGAGGAAGGGGTGCAGTAAGCTCTGCCCTCTGCCCCGTCCCGGGCTGCCGTGCCGGCCCTGCCCTCCCCCTCCCTCACCCACGCTGCCCCCGACCCCAGGCCACACCGGCAGCTTGATGGGCAGAGTGGCCATCCACAGGGGGTCTGCGCCCTTCCTCTGTCGGGCAGCCGCTGCCTCCTCGGGCACCTCCTCGGACACTGCTCCCCGGTAGAAGGACACCTGGCGTTGGGGTGAGGTGGGTTCAGTGTTCTGGCCTCTGCCCAGGCCGCCGGGGGCATCAAGGGCCGCTGACCCACCTGGCCCCTCACAGCCTGTGCCCGCCGATCCAGGGCGGTGGTCACATACACCTCCTTCAAGTTCTTCAAGTGTGAGTAAAACACAAAGCAGATCCTGCCCTCCACACAGTCTGGGCGATCTGGGGGGCGGGATGGGCTCAGGAGGGAGCCTGGAGAACAGACCCTGGCGTCCCCTCTGGGCGGGGGGAGCATACCAGCATCCACGTCAATACCCTTCTCGAAGGCAGCAAAGAATTTTTCGCCCTCGATCATCTCCACTGTGTCAGAGGGCTCGGGGCCTCGGTACCGGTCCAGCAGCCGCTGCAGGGTGGCGTCCACCTGGGGGGCGGGGGCGGAACACCTACTGGAAGGAGCTCGGTGCCCTGCACCCCCACACAGCCCCCTGCCCGCCCGACTCGGCCCTTCCAGACCCCTGGGCGCCGTGCCTACCTTGCGGCGGGGCAGACACTGGAGCAGGACCTGCTCGGGGTCCCGGCGCCGCTGCAGGGCGATGAGGTTGACCTGGTGCAGCCGCAGGCGCTCCCAGGCCTTCCGAGCCAGGCCCTGCACACAGCTCTTGGTGGTGTGCCAGAGCCAGTACCTGCGAGGGCCCTGGATGAGCGTGGGCGGCACTCGGGTGCGCGGCAGGGCGGGGCCGAGGAAGCTGGGGCGGGGGGCACTGACCAAGAGAAGTGTGTGACCCGGAAGCGAGCATACAGGTGGGTGATCTCCAGCGCCACCTGGGCTGTGATGTCATCCCAGGCCGATGCAGGAGGCGCCCAGTACAGCAGGTGAAGACAAGTGCGATCCAGACTCAGTCCTGGGGACGCGAGGGGGCCACAGGCTGGGCCATCCAGGGCAGGGACTCCCCTGCCGAGAGCATGGCCCCCTCCACCATGTGGCTTTGCGTTCGGGTAGGCAACCCCCCCCTACACATACACACCCTGGCCGCCTCTCACCTGTGACACCAGGGGGCAGAGGCAGCTGCACGGTGACAGGCTGGAGGAAGCTGGAGGTGCCACGCTGGGAGAGGCACAGCAGGGGGCTGGCCGCCGCCCCGGGCTCCTCAAGGAGGGCTCGAAGCTCTCTGCCAGCCATGTGCACCACCTGGGGCAAGCCGGGCGCCCGGGACACTCACCTTGGTGCTGAGGTACCACCCACCACCCCCAGTGGCTGCCCTGCCCACACCTGCATGCGGATGCGACGAGGCTCATCGGTGGCACCAGGGGGGAATGTGACTTTGACCCCAGGATGTCCAGAGGAGCACAGCAATGTCCCCTCCGGTGGCACAAGACAGGTGTTGGATACAGGACGTGAAACCACGAGGAAGCACGAGAAGTGGGGCACCTGGCAGTGAGCCCAGAGCCGCTGGGCATGGAGGGTGGGGTCAGAGGGAACAGGGTCAGAGGGGAGTCAGGGTCAGGGCAGAGCCACCAGGTGGGGCAGATGGGGGAGGCGCTCCCGGGGGCTGAGTGCTCCTTCCCGGGGAGGCCTGGGGGGCTCCACCTTGGGTGCCTCTTCCTCCAGGTGTGTCTCCAAGTCGCTCCAGCTGTCATCACTCAGGGTCCTGACCACCACCTCACGGCAGCGCCGGGCCCGGGGGGGCACAAAGAGTAGCCACAGGCCCACCTCCTGCCAGGCCGGGCTGGTGTGAGCACTGGGGCCCATGCCCGGGCCCGCCTGCTCTGCCCCCCTCCCCGAATGCCCTGGCCATGCCTGCTGGAAGGCCACCCCGTGGGGCCGCAACTCCAGGACAGCGCTGAGTAGGGCGTCATGGGGACCCAAGGGAACAAGGCGTGGCTCCGGCAGCCGGAGTCGATAGTGGATGTTGACAGGGTCAGTGGTGGCCCCAGCAGGAAACCTCAGGCGGACCCCACAGGCCAGGGTCACCAAGCAGCCTTGGGGAGTCACCAGGAAGCTGTATGACAGGGTGGGCATCAGGTCAGACAACAGAAGGGGTGTGTCTGGATCAGGCAGCCCGGGGAAACTCCAGAAGACCCCGGGGGCAAGAGCACAGTGCTCATCACGGACAAGGCAACCAGGCAGAGACGTGCGTCTCCTGCCCCCTCCTCCTCCCCGCACGCACCTGTCCAAGTCTGAGTTCAGGAACAGTCTGGGCATTTCGCGGGTCACAGGCGTCTCTGGGCAGGACAGGCAAGCTGTCATGAGATCTCTGGTATCTGCGCCCTGGCCTGTCTGTGGGCTGACCCTTCCCAGCAACAGGCCTACCTGGGGCACTGTGGGAGGCAGGTAGAGCCTTGCCCAGGGGGTTCCCCTGAAGGCGCACAAAGGGGGCGTCCAGTAGCTCGGGAGGCACGTCCCGAAGCTGGTTGTCCCTCAGATCCAGTCGGGCAAGCAGTGGGAGGTGGGCCAGGCCAGAGGGCACTGAGGTCAGGAGATTGCTGTGCAAAATAAGGAACCGCAAGGACCGCAGCCCCACTGGGGGCAGGGGGCAGCTGAGGGCGGGCAGAGGACCCTCGGGGCCACTCCCCGCCCTGGCCAGGGAGGGACGGCAAACAAGGGCCACCAAGGAGGACTGAAGGCTCCAAGGTGGGCCAAGCCGGTGTGTGCAGGGGCCCCCATGGAGGACAAGAGTGGAAACCAGGCCGCGGCTGAAGGGCACTCCCTGTCAGGCCCAGGGAGCCAGAGGAGCACGACTCCGACTTACCAAGGGAGATCGGCAGGCCTTGCAGCTGGTTGGAAGCCAGATTGAGCTCGGTGAGGCTGCTCAGGTCTCCAATCTCTGGGGGCAGGGTGTCTAGAAGGTTCTCTGAGAGATCAAGGCGCTGCAGGGCGGACAGGGATCCCAGCGCTGGGGGCAGCGTTCGCAGGCAGTTGTGGCTCACAGAGAGGAAGGAGAGGGAGGGAAGGGCTCCAAGGGAATCCGGGAGCTCTGAGAGGCAATTGTAAGACAGCAAGAGGGTGCTCAGGCCACGAATCTGCGGGACACAGGCTGGCAGTGTCTCCAGGCTATTGAAGCTCAGATCTAGGTGGGCCAAGCGGGCCAAGTCACTCAGGCCAGCGGGCAGTGTGGTGAGGAAGCCCCGGGAGCAGGCCCCTAGCACGTCCTGCTGTTGTCCACCTAGAAAGGGGGAAAGCAGAAGTAGCCCTCTGAGTCAGAACTGCAGGGTTCAGCTCAGCTTGGAGGCACAGATCTTGACCCCAGCCCCAGTCGGAGAGGGACAGATGCAGATACCAGCAGATGCAGGGACACAGGCACAGACCCTGCAGGCTCATTTCAGCTGACAGCTATCGCCCATGACCTGCCCCAGGAAGAGTACCCACACTGGGGTCTGCTGGAAGACCCCACTGGGCAGCGGCAGCCTCCAGGATCCAGGGCTCAGCCAGGTTCACCTTGTCGCGGGGGGCAGGTTTGGGACAGGGCCGGGACCGGGTGGGGCTCACCTCTGAGGACCAGGGATCGAAGGTGCTGCAGGCTGGCCGGCACCTGGGCCAGGGTGGCCTCCAACAGCCGAGGGTCCTCGTGGCCGCTCAATTGCAAGAACTCCACTTCCAGCAGCTGCGGGGCCCGCTGGGCACACAGATGTAACAGCCGGTGGCAGCCCCGGGGGTACAGGTGCAGGTTCAACCGGTTCCCAAGCAGGAGATGGGGGTCCCCGGGCTCGCCATCCACAGCATCCACGACCTCTCCCGCAGCATCTTCTGGAGCAGCTGCCTCGGGCTCCAGCCACCCCGCCTCTGCAGCCATAGCCCACAGGCTGTCCTCGGGGGCCAGACATGTCCCAGCCTGCCAAACAGGCCTGCTCAGGCACGGCCTGGGGGGGCTGAGGAGGCAGGGGGAGGAGGGGGAGGGGTGGGGATGGGCCCTCCTCCTCCTACTCAGGCGCGTGGGGATTCTGGCTGGGTGGGCGGAGTCTTGAGCTAGGCCAACTGGTCCACAGAGCCCAGAGCCTCAGCTGGACAGATCAGAGTTGGAATAGGGCTGGGGAATGAGAACCCCAGGACTGGGAGGGCGGCAGGCAGGAAGGCCTGTATGCAGAGGAGCCTGGAGAACCTGATTGGAGGGAGGAGGGAGAAATGAAGCTTCACATCCTACTTGTGAAAATGTGAACAAGAGACTCCCAGAGCGGTCAGGCCATTCTGGCTGTCCACCCCCTCCCCGCCCTCTCTGGGCATAAGCTTTGGGGTCCAGCCCCACCACCATCCTTCACACCCACCAGCTTTGACCAGAGGTGGAGGACTCTTATCTACCACGTGGGGGCAGTGGCCCCGGCAAGGAAAGGGGTGATTGTGTCCGTCTGTGTCAGATAAGTGAATGGGGGGGGAGCTGGAGTGTAAGGCACCCCGCGTTTGGGGTCCTCGCGATGGGACCCCCATTTCCTGACCGCTGGAGGAGGGTTCTCTCACGCTTTCCTGTTTGTACCTAGGTCTGCTGATGAGGGCGGTGGTCAGCACATTCCAGGCTCCGAGGGCTTGGGAGCCGGTCCTGGCCGGGAGATCACCCCTCAAGCCGGCCGTCCCCACCGCCCGCCCGCGCCCTGCGCGTACCTGCGCTCGACCCTGGGCGCCGTCCCCGGTGCGCGCCCAGCGGCGGGTTTCCGTCGGCGCGTTCCCGAGAGGACCGGGAGTCGGGGTCCCGCCCGGTCAGGACGCCCCTTGTTCCTGGCTGGGACCGCAGGCGAAAGGGCTCAGAGTCCGTCCCCGCCCGCCTGCCCTCGGCCTGCCCGCAGCCCCGGAGACACGGCCGCGGACCCCAACCGCCACCCGCCAGCCCAGCCGCGCTGCGCTTCCTGTTGGTTTGTCTGGGTCCGGCCTCCCTCTCCCGCTGGGAAGGCCCGCGCCGCGCGCGCGAAACCCGCCCTTTCAGAGATTCCCGGCCCTCGGGCCCGCCCTTCTCTGGAGCTGAGCGTTCCGGCCCCAGGTTAAAGGGAGCTGGTGCAATCTCCGTACGGAGGACGGCTTTAGGGGCTGAATGGCACTAACTGTGCCATTCCCCAGCCGGCCTCGAGGGCCTCCTCCGGGAAGCCTTCCTGGGCCTTGTCGGGAGACCTGGTCCCAACTCCTGTAATCCTGCTTTCCTGACAATCACTTTGGCCCAAGTGCCCCCGCAGTGGGCTTCGCCACACGTTGACTCCTTCCATCTTTGTCTGCATCTCACAGGGAAGGAGGAGGAGGCTCTGGCAGGTCAGAGTTTGCCGGAGATCACATAACTGGAAAGGGCCAAGGCCAAGAACCTCAAACTAGGTCTCTCGAGGGAGCCTATCCCACCTGCGCTCAGGCACTCGGCCCCAAATTAATCACGGCACCCTCTTCTCCGGTTCCCCCACAGCCACCAGCCCTCCCACCAGGATGGGCAGTTCTGCCAGTCCTCCGTTGTCCCCAGCTCCTATCACACATTGTTTCTAACTTGCTGCCAGAAGACTTTTTTTTTAAAAGATTTTATTTAAAAAATAAAACAAAAATAAATAAATTTAAAAAAATAAAAATAAAATTTTAAAAAAGATTTTTATTTCAGAGAGAGAGAGACAGCACAACCAGGGGGAGCAGCAGGCAGAGGGAGAAGTCTCCCCGCCAAGCAAGGAGCCTGATGCAGGACTGGATCCCAGGACCCGAGGATCATGACCCAGGCCGAAGGCAGACGCTTCCCCTACTGAGCCACCCAAGTGTCCCATCTGTTTGCCAAAAGACTTTTTTTTTTTTTTTAAGATTTTATTTATTTACTTGACAGAGATCACAAGTAGGCAGAGAGCCAGGCAGAGAGAGAGAGGGGGAAGCAGGCTCCCCGCTGAGCAGAGAGCCCGATGCGGGGCTCGATCCCAGGACCCTGAGATCACAACCCCAGCCGAAGGCAGAGGCTTAACCCACTGAGCCACCCAGGCGCCCCATGTTTGCCAGAAGACTTAAAAAGAAAAACAATCACAAGAATATTACTCAGCTTTAAAAGGGAAGGAAATTCGGATACACGCCAGCACGTGAAGGAAACTTGGGAACGTTGCGCTGAATTAAGTCAGATCCCAGGGGATAAATACTGCACGCTTCCACGCGAGGCCACCAGAGGAGTCAACTTTCCTTGAGACGAAAGTTAAACTGGTGGGTGCCGGGGGCTGCAGGAGGGAATAGGGAGTTCTTCAGCAGGGGTGGAAGGCACCTTGGGACGAGGGAAAGCAGTCTGGAGGTGGAGGCTGGTGACGGCTGCGTCGGGGGAAGCACCCGGTGGGCTGACCTGCACGCAGGACGCTCAGCCTCCCGCATTACAGCACTGCGAGCACACGACCCCTCCCTGCGCACTGCAGCAGCACCCCACCCCTGCCGGGAGGGTTTCCACTCTACCCCAAGTGTGAGACCTTGAGCAGAACCTCTCCGCGCCGCGTCCACTATAAAATGGAGGCGATGACGGCGACGACACCCCTAGGAAGGGGGTGGCCTGCACGAGCACCGCAGTGCTCGGTGCACTACCCCCGCAGCTTCCCTGCTAGTGACGGGCCGCCAAATGCAGCCGCCGCGGGGCCTCGGCGTCCCACCCTTCTGCCGGTTGCTCGCCCTACATCTTCCCTCCGGGGCTCGGTCGGCCCGGGTCGGCCTCGTTTGTCCACTTTCGGGTGTCCTCGCTCTGGAACCCGTGTTGCGGAGTAGCAGGGCCGGGCCTGCTCGCTCCCCGCGCGAAAGCCTGCCGCGAGCTCCCGGGCACCAAGCAAGAATGTGTGGCACACGCGGGCGTCCGCGCGGGCGCGGAGGTCAGTTCGGAGCCCACGCGACCCCGCAGGGGAGGAGCCGTCGGGCCCAGGCCACGCCGCTCCGCACCTCACGGCTGCGAACCGTCCCCGCGGAGCCCCGCCAGCAGCCAGCCAGGAGGGCCGGCCACGTGCACCCGCACAGGCGGCGCGCCCGCACTTCCGGCAGCAGTGCATCCTGGGGCTTGGAGTTCGCGGGCGGAGGCGGCTGGACAGCGCGGCTCGAAGGCTCCAGTCCCCGCGGCCTGGGCGTCGCGTGACGTCACTCGGAGGCGCCCGCTCGGCGCGGCGCGCGTGTCCCGGGGGCTTCTGGGTACTGGATTACCCCCGCCCCCCCACGCCGGCGCCTTCCTTTCCGTCCCTGACGCCGCCGAGGTCGCACGCGTGAGGCTTCTCCCCGCCAAGTCAGTGGGCGGCTGGGCCGGGGCACGGGCCGGCCTGTGGGGCGCTGGGGGGCTGTGGGGGGCCGCGGGAGGCAGGCGGAGGGGCGCGGGGTGGGGCGCCGGCCGGGGCTTGGCGGGAGGCGGCGGCCGGAGCCGGGGCCGGGGCGGGAGGCCTCCCGGTAAGGCCGCCTGTGCTCTCCTTCTGCATCAGGATGCGCTACGTCGCCTCCTACCTGCTGGCCGCCCTCGGGGGCAACGCATCCCCCAGCGCCAAGGACATCAAGAAGATCCTGGACAGCGTGGGCATCGAGGCGGATGACGACCGGCTCAACAAGGTAGCTGCGCCGCTCGGCTCCGGCGTCCCCGCCGCGGGCCTGCCCCGGGGGAAGCGCAGCTGGGGGAGCGCGCGGGGTCCCGAGGCGGGGTCCGGCCTGCTTCGGGGCGAGCTAGGGCGCCGCCCTTACGGACTTCCCTCCGCGAGGGGGGGTTACGCCAAGTTGCTCCGCTGTCCCGTGTCGAGGAGTCGCAGGAGTGCCGGGCTCCCCCTTGCAGCGCGTCTTCGGAGAAGCCACATGCGGGTGCTAACCTCCGCGCCGGACAGGGCAGGCCGGCAGGCTTCGGGGCGTCTTCTCACGGCGCGCTCCTGCGGCCAGCCCTGCCCCGGCTGGAGAAGGCGTAGTGAAGGCAGGAGGCGTGGAAGTGAGTCTCTGGTAACGGCCCGTTGTGGTCATTCTAGGTCATCAGTGAGCTGAACGGGAAAAACCTCGAAGACGTCATCGCCCAGGGTGAGATTGCCTGCGGCCGGCTTTCGTTGTCAGGGTCCATCCTCATGCCCGCGGGCCAGCCCGTGGCCTGCCGGGTTTCGCTTGTGGACCAGAGTACTCCAGAAGCCCCGCCCAGAGGCGGCCGCTTCCGTGGGCTTGCGCCGCGGGCGCTTCTGGACAGCCCTGGCGGCGGGGCGGCGCAGCTCGGCGACACCGTGTGCTCTCCAGGAGGGGCTTGGAGCACAGACTGGGGCTGCTGCCTGGGGTGACCACGGGCCCTGCCCCACTGTGCTGGTGACAGGGCTGAGCCGACGGGAATGTGTGGAAGCTGTACCGTTGGGACGACGGCGTCCCTGTGGGCTCGGTGAGGCAAAGCCAGCTCAGCCCGCAGCCCTGTCTGAGCTCCCGGATGAGGACCTGGACGGGGCCGCAGACTCCGTCCCTGCCGGGTTGAAACCGTGGTGGGGTGCTGTGGCTCGGTTTCTTGGGGAGGGATTCTCGGAAGCCGAGATTCCACATAGGGAACGCGAAGGCACAGGTGGGAGAAGAGAGGAGCTGGTGACTCTGGCACTTGGCGATGGGTCCCCAAACATTGACAAACTGTGAGTAGCCTTCAGACGGAGCACCTGCTCTGCTCTTACCTTCCCTGATTTCTGTAGGGATTGGCAAGCTGGCCAGTGTTCCTGCTGGTGGGGCGGGAGCGGTCTCTGCCGCCCCAGGATCTGCTGCTCCGGCTGCTGGCACCGCCCCTGCCGCAGGTGAGTGGAGGACAGGGTGATGTCCCCGCTGGGATTCCGCTTTGCACTTTGGGCCTTGCTCACTGCCCCCTTCTGTCTACAGCTGAGGAAAAGAAAGACGAGAAGAAGGAGGAGTCGGAGGAGTCAGATGACGACATGGGGTTCGGCTTGTTCGATTAGGTTCCTGTTCACCCTCATCCGCTGGCAAATAAAACCCTTTTTATGTATCCGTGGAGTGGCTCGTGAGCGTTTTGTCAGAGTGTGGCCTTGGTGCAGGGCGGTTGTGCGGTCCCCATGGTGGGTGGGTGGGTGGGCCTTCATTGCAGGAGAAACCAGAGCTTCCCTGCTGAGGTGGAGTTCCTGGGAAGGAGAAGCTCGTGTGGAAATGGGTACCTGGGAGGGGGACATGAGCCTTCTTGGGCACAGTCCTGGCTACTGAGGACAGCCAGGGCCTTCCCAGAGTGAAGCCTTCAGGGGGACATACTAGAAAACTTATATAGCAGCCCTGGGTGGTCTCTGCTGCCCCAAGGTGGCCCTGGCTGGTGGAGGCCAGCAGTTCCTCTGGGACTGGTGGCAGCATTCTTCAGTTACTGGAGAGGAAAGAAGGGTGGTGATGGTGCCCGCGGGATCCTGAGGTTTCCCTGCAGGGGTGGGCCCAGTTCGTGTTCAAGCTCTGCTTTAATCTTTGAGCAGCTCAGTCCCATCGGTCCTCTGAGTAACCCAGCCATCTGGTGGCCGGGGCAGATGTGAAGTGGCTTGTAGGGAGTGATGTTGGGTCACATGGCCATGAAGTCCTTACGGGGCAGGCCTGCCAGGGCCTCTGCTGCCAAGCTCTGGCCAGAATGGGGGGCAAAGTTCCTCCCGCTGCCCATCCCGCCCCCATCCTGGGCCTTGGGTCCTCTGCCCAGCAATGCCAGCCCACTCAGGAACACTGCTTCCCACAGTGGAGCCTCTGGGCCAGCATGTGGTGTGTGCCTCCGCTTTGAGGCAGGTCCTGGCGTTGGGTGAGCTGTTCTGCGGGGGGAGGGCGCAGAGCGAGTGTAACAAGGGATAGCTGGGGGGTGGAGGGTTTCCCTTGGATAGGGAGCCAAACCCTGGGGAAAGGGGCCTGCGGTGTAGGAGTGTGTGTGGGATGTGGGAAAGAAGCCCCGAGACCCTCTGGTGGGTGGGTGGGACATGGGCCCAGAGGGAGAAGTGAGCGTCATTGCCAGGTTCTCAGCAGCACGTGCTGCAAGAGACTAACGTTTGAGGGGGGGTGTGGGGGATGTGGATGCCCAAGGACACAGGTGGCGAGGGGATAGGGCTCCAGGTTCAGCTAGAGGGCTCTCCGGAGGAGAGGACCCTGAGTCCATGGGCAGACCTTGAAGTGAAGGGCCCCGTGGGGTCAGAGGACGGCATGGGAAGGGGCATGATTACGCAGTAAACACCAGGGCTTCCCGTCCACGCTGGCTGGGAGGAGGGGAGGCCCACCTCCCGCCCCCGCCAGGGTTCCTGGAAGCGCCGTTGTGTTCCTGCTGCAGAGCGGCTGCTCCCAGGAGCTTGGAGGGAGGGCTGTGTACCCAAAACAGCTCAACCCTGGTGTGGAAATAGGGCAGAGGCCTCCCTGCACTGGGGCAGCACCACCCTTCAAAGCCCCAGTCCCTAAGGAGCAGGAAGGGCCCGGACCCTGGCTTCTTGGGGCAAGTCAGGGAGGACCTTCTCAAGTCCCTGGCTCGGCCTGCACCACACAGCTCCCCTCTTGGTGGCCACCCTGGTGAACCCCTGGACTACCAGGTCAGCCTGGAGAGTGGCCTTCGTTCCCGCCGCCTGCCCCGTGTGGCCGCTGGCAGCAGCCCCAGGGGCTCAGTCAGTAGGGGCCCTGATCATCCTGGTGTGGGCCCCGTACTCTGCACTCGACATCCATCCAAAGCACTTGGGGGATGGGATCCCCATGTACAACAGAAGGTCAAATTTGTCTAGGTCAAGTTTATTTATCTTTCTAGTTGTTTTTTAAATTTTAGGGTTTTTTGAGGATACAATTATTTTTGGTTTTGTTTTTAAATTTTTATTTTATTTGGATTCAATCCAATTAATTAAGGGCGACTGGGGGGCTCAGTCAGTGAAGCCTCTGCCTTTGGCTCAGGTTATGATCCCAGGGTCCTGGGATGGATCCCTGCATCTGGCTCTCTGCTCAGCAAGAAATCTGCTTTCCCCTCTACCTCTGGCCCTCCCCACCACTGGTGCTCTCTCTCTCATGTTGTCTGTCTCAAGTAAATAAAATATGTTTAAAAAGTAAAATAGGGGGTCCTGGGTGGCTCAGTGGGTTACAGCCTCTGCCTTCAGCTCAGGTCATGATCTCAGGGTCCTGGGATCGAGGCCCGCACCGGGCTCTCTGCTTGGCAGGGAGCCTGCTTCCCCTTCTCTCTGCCTGCCTCTCTGCCTACTTGTGATCTTTGTCTGTCAAATAAATAAATAAAATCTTTAAAAAAAAGTAAAATAAATTCAGTTAATTAACATATACTGTATCATTAGTTTCAGAGGTAGAGGTCGATGATTTGTCAGTTGCGTATAACACCCAGTGCTCACTCCACCACTTGTCCTCCTTAATTTCCCAGTTACCCCATCCCCCCACCCTCCTCCCCTCCAACAACCCTCAGTTTATTTCCTAGAGTTAAGATCCTCTTATGGTTTATCTCCCTCTCTGATTTCGCCTTGTTTTATTTTTCCCTTCCTTCCCCTGTGCTCCTTTGTTTTATTTCTGAAATTCCACACATGAGTGACATCATATGATCATTGTCTTTCTCTGACTGAGTTATTTGGCTCAGCATAACCCTGTAGTTCCATCCACGTCACTGTAAATGGCAAGATTTCATTTTCTGATGTCTGCATAACAGTCCGTTGTGTATATATAGACCACATCCTCTTTATCCACTCATCTGCCCATGGACATTGGGGCTCTTTCCGGAGGTTGGCTGTTGTGGACATTGCTGGTATAAACATCAGTTGCATTTCTGTACACTAACAACCAGACAGAAGAGAGAGAGACTAAGGAACCATTTCCATTTACAATTACACCAAAAACCATAAGATACCTAGGAATAAACCTAACCAAAGCAGCAACAAATCTGTACTCTCGAAACTGTAGAGCACTCATGTCTAGGTCAAGTTTACTTAGATACCCCCTGCTTTCCTCTCTCCCAGTACCCAGGCCTGGCTCCCCTCCCCGCCAGCACCTCTGTATGGCACAACCTAGGCAGCCCTGTGTCCCTCCTGGGTTAACTGCCTGCACACTCCATTCCCTCTCAGCCTTCATTCTGAGCTTATGTAAACAATGTCTCCCCACCTCCACCCCCCAGTTAGGGCTCCATCTGCATTGACCTTGCTCAACTGCTCTCTCCTGTGTGGGTCTCTCCGCCAGGCACACTGTCAGTGCCAAATACGGGTGTCTGACAACAGAGGCTGAGGGATGGACAGCATGACCCCGATGGCCCTGTCCCGTGGAGGACGCCCTGCTCTGGGTTCTCAGCCTGGGCCTGAGTAGGGGGCGATCCCAAGCCGCATCCCAGACCTCCACAGCCCTGGCACCGGCTGGGTCTTCAGCCAAGCTCCTGCCTGGGGAGGGGTGTTCCTGGGGAGACAGGGGCATCCCACCACCCCAGCACAGACCAGCCCCTTGTTTGGGAGGTGGGGTGAGGCTCAGGCCGGCTCCTGGAAGCGAGCCAGCCTATGCCCGCCCTACATGTAGTCAAAGAGAAAAATGCGGAAAAGGGGCGGGAGGGTGACATCACTGGAGTGCTCCACCTGCTGGGGCACTGAGCGGGGGCGGGGCGGGGCCGGGGTCATACCCAAGTAGACCGCACACCCCGAATGAAGTAAACCCAGGTTAGTTCCCAGCTGCGAAGGGGCAGCGGCGGCAGGCGGCGGGGGCTTGAGGCCAGGTTGGGCTCTGGGGCACTGGTGTTAGCTCTGAAAGTTGTGTGCGGTTTGCATCCGCCCCCAGATATTTATGGGTCAGTCTTTGGTGAGTCAGTCGGTCCTGGGGGTCCCGGCCCTGGGGTCCTCAGTGTCCCAAGCGGCTGTTGTAGGCAGACCCCAGAGGAAGGGGGCGGCGGCCGCCCGGACACAAGTGGCCCTCCCCCCGCAAGTATCCAGACTGGTACGCGGCTCTCGCACCTCCAGACTCCAGGCGTCCCAGGCCCGAGCTCGCCCCTCCCCACACCCCCAGGCCCCCGTGTGTCCCCTCGAGCTGCCCCCGGAGGCCCGGCACTGGGTCTCGGGGCGGGGGCGGGGCTCCAGGGCCCCCAGAGGGCGCGGCCGTTCCCCGCGCGCCCCGATTGGGCCGCGCGTGCCGGCCCCGCCCCCGCCCGCCCCCACTAAAAGCCCCGCGGCCGCCGCCGCCCGGCGCAGCGTCTCCGCCTCGGCCGGCGGGGACCTAGAGCGGGGGTGGTCGCGGGGCCGTCCCGGACCCCAGAGCGAGCGGGAGCGCGCGGGGCGCGGCGAGCCCCGGAGCCCGGCGGGCCGCAGCGATGTTCCCCAAGGAGGCGACGTGGAACATCTCGTTCGCGGGCTGCGGCTTCCTGGGCGTCTACCACATCGGCGTGGCCTCCTGCCTCCGCGAGCACGCGCCCTTCCTGGTGGCCAACGCCACGCACATCTACGGCGCCTCGGCCGGGGCGCTCACGGCCACGGCGCTGGTCACCGGAGCCTGCCTGGGTGAGCGGGGCCGGGCGGGGGGCCGGCGGGGGTCCTGCCTGGGCGAGCGGAGGCCGGACGGGGGGCCCCCGGCCTCGGTGAGCCGAGGCCGGGTGGATGCTCTTCGAGAGCGGAGAGCGGCTCCCCGCACCTCCCGTCCCTCCGCTGGGGAAGCTGGCCGGCCGCGGTGCGGTGAGGTGGGGTCTCTGCCCGCGCCCAGGACCCCCGCGGAAGATCGATCCCGGGAGCGGGCCCGGGGGCGGGGCCTGGTTTGTTTTGCTCGGAGGCGTCCAGGGATTGGGGTGCGACCGTGCAAGCCTCCGGGACCGAGGCTCCGGGCGCAAAGGCTGGAGGGGCTGGCAGGTGCCGCAGGGGTATTTCACCGGGAAGAGAAAATAACTCGTGGGCGAGGCCGTGAGAGCCGGGGGAGGGGCCTCACCACCCCGGAGCCCGGCAGTGGACTGGATGCCAGCGGTCACCGTGTCCTGGGGCTGGGCTGTTTCAGGCTGCCATGTCCCTGGAGCCCTGTATGACGGTGGCCCCTTAAGAGCGTTTGGGTACTGTGGCCTGGTGCCTCCCAGGGGATCTGGAAGAGAAGTCCTAAGGCTCAGGCCCAGCATGGCAAGCCCTCCCCACTCCTCTCCCTCCTTGCACACCACCCACTGTGGCCCTGGGTCCTCAACTGTGGTCAACGTTTCTTTTTTTTTTTTGCCCACTGCCTGGGGTGGGAGGTGCTTCTGAGCTCTCCAGCCCCGTGGGCGGGACTGCGGAGGTCTGTGTGTACTGGGATGGGCTCCTCCGCTCACACACACTTCCGGCAGGCGCTGGCTGCTGCTGTTTACGGCACACTGAGTACTCAGGGAGTCCTGGGAATGGTGCCCAGCCCCCAGCCTACTAGGGCAGCCAAGGTGACAGAGGGTCATCAGGTTCTCGAATGCCCTGCCCAGCAGGAGCCTGACCAGGGCTCACTCCTGCCTCCTTCCCATGACCTTTGCCCTGGGGGAGGTGGCGTGGAAGGAGCACAGCTCTCCATCCTTGGGAGCTGGGGGTTCGCCTCCATGGCCCTGCCCCTCCCTCCCTCAGAAGCCTTCAGGCCAGGGGTTCTCTTGTACATCCACACTGGCCTCAGGACACACCTGGCTCCCACAGCACCTCTTCCTCCCATGCCCGAGAAGCCTGTTTCTCATGAGTGGTCTTGGGGAGCTGCAGTCCCCACAGCATGGCCGGTTCTGGCCCCACTTCTGACTAGGACAGTGCGATCTGCAGCTCCTCCCCAAGGCCCACCAATTCTGTGACCACTCCTGGGCCCCTGCTCTGCCATGGTGTGAGGCCAGCGCCAGGGGCTTCGAAAAAGAGTCTTGGTAGGAGCTGCAGTGGGTCACAATCGGGCTTTCTCAGGGGTGGTGGGACCCCACTCTTTTCAGCCTCATGCCCTCAGGCCTGGATCTGGATCTGGCCAAGTGGGTGAAGGCTAAGGCTGGTCAGGGTTGAACCTCTGCTTTCCCCCCTTCCCAGGCTGGGGCCTAGTGAGTGACTCATGGATCAGGCCAAGAAGTTGGGAAATACCGGGCAGAGGGCAGGCCTTGGCTGCAGCTGTCAGCCCTCCCTGGGTGGTGGCCTGCCTCTGTCTCTCCAGGGGCAGGTAGCAAAAGTCCCAGTTGTGGTCCAGGACCTGTGCTGGACACTGGGAATTCTCCAGGGTACATGGAGATGCCGTGAGTCTGTGTGCTGTGGGACTCCAGGCATGGACCCATGGGGGGTGTGCTAAGCCAGGAGGGCTGGCCCCTGACCCTTGGCCGTGCTGACCCAGGTGAGGCAGGTGCCAACATCATCGAGGTGTCTAAGGAAGCCCGGAAGCGGTTCCTGGGTCCACTGCACCCCTCCTTCAACCTGGTAAAGACTATCCGTGGTTGCCTGGTGAAGACCCTGCCTGCTGACAGCCACGAGCGTGCCAGTGGGCGCCTGGGCATCTCCCTGACCCGTGTCTCTGATGGCGAGAACGTCATTATATCCCAGTTCAGCTCCAAGGACGAGCTCATCCAGGTGGGCCCTGCTGGGGCCGCATTGGGGGTACACTATGAACTCCAGGCCTCTGCTCACCACCCCTCCCTGTCCCTCTGTCCCTGCCCCACAGGCCAATGTCTGCAGCACCTTCATCCCTGTGTACTGTGGCCTCATCCCTCCCTCCCTCCAGGGTGTAGTAAGTATCCCTTGGCACATTTCCTGGGTGACAAGAATTGGCCACTGTGTGAGCAGTGAAACAAGGCAGTGGGGAAGAGGAAGGCCATGGGGGCCAGCCCTGCCCCCCTCCCCTAGCCCCTTTCTCCTTCCATGGCCTGTTGCCTCACTTCCCCGAGTTGCCCAACAGCAGACAGGGCTCAGGGAGACATACTTCCGGTGGCTGTCTCTACCCCACCCCCCATGCTCTAGCCATCTGCCCAGCGGCCGGACAGGCCTATGGCCAATGCCCAGTGCCCAGTGGGTGAAAGGCACAAAGGAAGTAGCCACTGGGTGGCCCCGGTGGCCCAGTGGGCTAGCTAGCTTGGGCCTCGGGCCCCGCCCCGTGTGACCATGTGTCCTGGTGGCAGCGCTATGTTGATGGCGGCATCTCAGACAACCTGCCACTCTATGAGCTCAAGAACACCATCACCGTGTCCCCCTTTTCGGGGGAGAGTGACATCTGCCCGCAAGACAGCTCCACCAACATCCATGAGCTCCGGGTCACCAACACCAGCATCCAGTTCAACCTGCGTAATCTGTACCGCCTGTCCAAGGCCTTGTTCCCACCAGAGCCCGGGGTGAGTCTGCAGCAGCCACCAGGAGACCACCCTAGCCTGGGGGGAATCTGCCCTAGCCCGGGGTGAGGCCTGCGCCCAGGAGGCCGGGTGTGCAGGGCCTTTCCTCACCCAGCTTCTGGGAGCGAGGTGCCAGATGGCATCTCCCGGGGCCGGGGCCGGGGCAGGGTCCACACAGCCGTGGCTTCTTCAGTCGAGAGCCTGGGGCAGCCTGTCGGGCCTGGGTCCGAGTTCGCTTGGTAGAGGGGAGGAGTGCCAGGGCCGCCAGGAGGCCGGACAGGGCAGCCGCATGCTCTAACTGACCACCCCACTGCCTCAGGTGCTTCGAGAGATGTGCAAGCAGGGCTACAGGGATGGCCTGCGTTTCCTGAGGCGCCACGGTGCGTGGGTGCCCCCAGCAGGGGCTGTGGGTGGGCTGGGATGGTGGCTCCGCACTATTGTCTGGCCTATGGGGCTGATCACCTGTCTGGGGGGCCCCACCCAGGCCTCCTGAACCGGCCCAACCCCCTGCTGGTGCTGCCCCCTGCACACAACCCTCCTCTCAAGGACGAGGATGTGGAGGACGCCCAGGTGGCCCCAGTAGATGGCCACTTACAGCCGTCCCGGGAGGATCACATCCTGGACCATCTGCCTTCACGGCTCAATGAAGGTATGTGGAGGCAATGAGGGGGGATGGAGGCCCCTTGCTTGGGGGGATGAAGGTGTGTGGAGGCAATGAGGGGGGATGGTGTCCCCTGGCTTGGGGGGATGAAGGTGTGTGGAGGTGGGGTGGGGGGGTGGGGGCCCTTGGCTTGGGGGGATGAAGGTGTGTGGAGGTGGGGCGGGGCAGGGGGCTTCTGGGTGGGGGAAGCTGTGGAGCAGAGGGGCCCAGGCCTCCCCAGCCCCAGGTCAGCTTCCCTCCTGCGTCCCACCCCCAGCCCTGCTGGAGGCCTGCATAGAGCCCAAGGACCTGCTGACCACCTTCTCCAACATGTTGCCTGTGCGTTTGGCCACAGCCATGATGGTGCCCTACACTCTGCCGCTGGAGAGTGCGGTGTCCTTCACCATCCGGTGAGGGAGTAGGGGTTTGGGGCTGAGAGCACTGAGGACCAAACTCTGGGGTCATCCATGAGTGGTAGGCGCCCTGGAGTAAAGGCCCAGTGGTTGGGGGAGGCTGCAGAGATGCCATGTCAAGGTTTCCAGAAGCTGGGGCACTGGTGGGGAAGAATGGGCACGGGGGTGAGGCCTGAGCCACAGACCCTGAGGCCATGCCTCCCGTCCTGCCTAGCTTGCTGGAGTGGCTCCCCGACGTCCCCGAGGACATCCGGTGGATGAAGGAGCAGACGGGCAGCCTCTGCCAGTACCTGGTGATGCGCGCCAAGAGGAAGCTGGGAAGCCACCTGCCCTCCAGGTGAGCCCTGCTCCCTGCTGGGTCTACCTGGGGCCCAAAGCGCAGTGGCCTCTACTCACTGCTCCTGCCCTCCATCCCTCCCCCCTGTAGCCTGTCGGAGCAGGTGGAGCTGCGCCGGGCCCGGTCGCTGCCCTCTGTGCCGCTGTCCTGCGCCACCTACAGTGAGGCGCTGCCCAGCTGGATGCGCAACAGCCTGTCGCTGGGGGACGCGCTGGCAAAGTGGGAGGAGTGCCAGCGCCAACTGCTCGTGGGCCTTTTCTGTACCAACGTGGCCTTCCCGCCGGATGCCCTGCGCATGCGTGCTCCCGCCAGCCACGCCCCCACGCCCCCACAGCTCCCACCCACCTTGCCCCCTTGCTGAATGCCTTCCCCAGCCCCCTGGGGTCCGGGTGCAGAGGGCGGGGGCTGCCCCAGCTTCCCTGCCCAGTGAGGTGGGGCCCTGGGGCGGGCTAAGCTCCCCCCGCCCCACTCCCGGGCCTCTCTCTACTACCCCTGCAGGAGTAAGGAGATGGGGCCCCTCACAGCTGCTAGAAGCCCCCTCCGCCAACCACTCCCGTGCTGCGCTGAGTGGGGAAGGGTCCAGAGCACCCCTCCCCTCACCTGTGCCTTAGTCTCCCCCTCAGGCCCCGCCCCAGAAGTGGGGAGGAGGGCGGGGCCGCACCTGCAGCTGCCCCCGAGTCAGTGCAGTATTACTCCTGAGAACTTTGTACCTGCTACTGCCTCCTCATTTGTCATGTTTTGCCGAAGAACGTGTGTGAAGAATTATTTATTTTCACCAAAGCGGTTGTAATAAATGCCACGGCCCAGCCCTGCCTCCTTCACTTGTGTGTGACTCCCCAGCGGTCGTCTCTCCTCCAGATCAGGCCTTCCGGGGCCCCGCTCTGCTGGGGCTCGGCGTCTGGTCCTGCCAGCCAGGCCTGAGGCCTTCCCCTAAAGGCCCCTGTGTACCTCTTGACTTCTGGCCCACTTCTCTGGCTAGGGCCAATACATTTGCCCCACTTTGTCTTGAGGTCTGCTGGCTGGCCCTTGGGCACAGCTTTGCAAGGGCCAGCAGAAATACTGGGACCAAGACCCTTGCTAAATAAAAACCAAGAAATGTTTACAAAAGGTGGTGTCTGCATCTCCACTCCATGGTGACGCAGGTCTGGGGGGTGGGGGGTGGGGGGGGAGGTTGATCTCAGGGTTGGATGGCTATGGAGGGCGGGGTTCCAGAGCTGAGCACCGCGGACCTAGGAGACAGGGGACCTGCTCCACTTTTGCATTTGGCAGAAGGCCCTGGGCCTCCCCCCTTGCCGTGGCAAAGCTCACTGGCCAGCATACACACCTTCTTGGTCCCCCGCCCACCTCCCCACCATATAGGGTGCATGGTCTCCAGCCAATACAGAGGAGGGGTATGGAATGTCAGGCAAGGTGAGGTCTGACACCGCCCCCTCGCCCCCCACTGAGGAGGCTGGACCTTGTTCCGTGGGAGACATAGTTTCCTGAAAGCGTCCTCTGCTTTGGACAGTCTGAGAGGTTCCAGCTCTTCTTGGGGACCAAAAGGGCCCATGGCTGAGGGGCTCTGGAGCAGAGCCTGGTGACTGAGTGGCTGGCTGTCTGGAGCTATTCGACTTGACCAAGGTGTCAGGCGGCTGTGGCGGTGGCAGCAGCCCCCGGCCAACAATAACGGTGGGACTGCAGGACTGGGAGAGCCGGCTGGGCAGGTCCCCTCCCCGAGCGCCTGTGCCAGGAGCCGGCCCCCTCTGGCTCACAAGGTCCTGTCCTGTAGGCCCCACCTATTCTAGCTCAGCAGGATCCCTGGAGAAGCAGAGGCTTCCAGACCCTCCAACCACCCTCCAGGTGGGTGCAGGGGCTGGGCTGGGGCTGGGGAGGGGGACCTTTGGCAAGAGAATGGGTTTTCTCCCCCAGCAGGAATGTCCCATGCCAGCCCCACCCAACTCCTTCTCCCAGCGCTCCTACAAGGGGAACCCAAATCAGGGCTGTGTCCCAGAAGGAAATCTTGGGGGGGCAGGCTGTGGAGGGGGACCTCCTTCTGCCCCCACCCAACATTGTGCCACTAATTTAGATACCATTTTGTAATATATTACATGCTAATTGTTTGACCACGGGAAAGACCAAAATTGGGAAAGTAGAGGCAAGAAAGTAAAGGCCCCCCAAACTCCGGAGAGCCAGTTGAAGATATTTTGGTCTGTCTCCGGCCTGGCTGGGTCTTGCACACACTTTCTGGCGCCTTAAATCCGGATCCTCAGGACAGTCTTAACGCTCCTCGCCTTAGCCCTGCTCCGGAAGGGTCCCCAGGCCACCGGGGGCATCTCCGCCCTGCCTTGAACTCCGTCCGGCGGGCACTGACGCCGCGGGCGCCGGAGTTCGGGGGCAGGGCGAGGTGTGGAGCGAGAGCCGGGCCGCCGGGGAAGCGCCGAGAGGCGGAGACACAGCGACGGTGGCGGCGGCGGCTCCGCCCGGGCCCGGCCCCCGCCGGGGTCTCAGTTCCTGGCAGGGCTGCGGGAACGCTCCGGGCCCGCGCCCCCTGCGCGCCGCAGCCTTTCCGGCAGCTGAGTGGCGGGCCGCGCGGCAGGTGGCTCGCAGGTAGGCGCCTCTGGGGGTCCCGCCGCCGCGACTCCTCCCCGGTGGCCGCGGGACGCGCCGACCCTCGCGTCTGGCCGGCGGGGACGCCGGGGTCCCGGGGAACGGAGCGGCGGTGGGCGCCGCGGCTCACCCGCCCGGCCGGCCCTTCTTCCCGGCTCCCCTGGCCCCGCGCCGCACAGCTTCCGGCTGGGATGGGTCTCCAGTCCCGGGAGCCCACGAACCGCGGGGGGTGGGGGCGCCCGCCGGGGCGAGGGGACGGCGCGATGGGGGAGACGGCTCTGGCCCCCCAGTCCCGTCCTCCCGCCTTTCCTCAGACCTCCCCCCTTTGGATATTGCGCCCCGATACCCCGCCGCCCCGGGAATATATGGGCGGGAGAGAAAATCAAGGTCCTGGACTGAGAGGAGAGGACCCCAGAATCCCCCAGGCTGGGGAAGTGTCGCCACACTGGGGGTTCTTTGGGAAATCCGGGACCGGGGCGTGTGGGAACGACAGGTGGCTCAGATTAGGGGCGGGGCGCCCCGCGGGGAGGAAGGACCGGCGAAGGTTCCGCGAACTGGAGGGGGCGAGTCTGGCACACCACAGGTGCCCAGTGCTTGGGGGAGGGACCATCAAGCCTAGAATCTGGCGTGTTCCTGACCAGGGCCGCAGAAGGTATCGGGGTCCCAGGCTGAGATCCTGCATCTGCACCCTTTGCGGCCCCGGGCTCCGGGGCAGGGCCTGCGGCAGAAGGGGAGGAGCTTACGTCGTCCGCCAGCCGGCTGGAGGCCAGGACCTCTGAGGCCCAGACTCAGGGGCTAATGACTTAGCCGGGATTAGCTGAACGCTCGCTCCCGCTGGCCCAGCCCGCCAGCCAGGTCTCCAGGTGCCCAACTTAGGGACCCGTTCAGCTCCTCCTCCCTCGCTGGCCAGTCCCTCACCCAAGCTCTCTGCTAGGAGCCCCCAGCTCTTTATTTCCCATCACAAGGTCTTCTACAGCTGCTTCCACACCCCTTGCCCGACACAGAGGTTGCCCTCCCCCGGCTCCTCTCCTCCTGCGCTGCCCACCCCCCACCAGCTGCAGCCTCTAGGCCTGGAGCCTTCGTCACTCCGACCCATGACACCCCTTGCCTGCAGCATGACCCCCAAGTGATCGTCCTGCCCCCAGCTCCATCCTCTCTGGACCTCTGCCATGCCTTCTCCCATCTTCCCAGCTGGTGCAAGGAGGCCCCTCTGCTGACTCAAGGGTCCCTGTCACCGGAGCTTAGTCCTCACCTGTGGCCACTCCGCCTTCCCTTCTCTTCCCCCCTCATCTCTCTTGAGCTTTGCTTGGGCCCTAACTCTTCCCTGACTTCGCAGCAAGTGATGGCAGAGACCCCCAGCCCCATGGCCAGGCCTGGGGAGCCTGGTGCTGGGGAGGCCCAGGAGGAGGAGGAAGTGGAAGAGCGGGACGCTGTGAGGTCAAGGGCAGAGATGCTAGAGCAGGCCCGGGAGCTGTTTCTGCTTTGTGACAAGGACGCCAAGGGCTTCATCACTCGGCATGACCTGCAGGTGAATCCCCAGTCCCGAGAGGCTGCCCCAGCCAGGGGCTGACCTTGGCTGCTCAGCCCTGGCATCCTTGCCCGGCTAGGGTCTTCAGAGCGACCTGCCCCTCACACCTGAACAGCTAGAGACGGTTTTCGAAAGCCTGGATCAGGCCCACACAGGCTTCCTCACCGCTCGGGAGTTCTGCCTCGGCCTGGGTGAGCTGACCCCTGAGGACCCTCCCCTCCCACCCCCTTGTGCACTGAGAGCCCAAGGGCCCATGTGGGGCCCACACCAGACACAGATGGCAGATGTGCCTCTCTGTGGCCTCCCTGCGGAGCACAGGCTGCTATCAATACACACATGCCCCAGAGGAACCCCCCTCATTAGTGCAGCTGACCCTCCTGCTCCTTGACCCCTCACTTCTGTGCCAAACCCAGGTGGGGCTGGGAGCCGGGCTTGCTCCATGCTGGCCCGGGTGTTACCTCCCATTTCTAAACTAAGCTTCAGGCCGGAATAAGGAAGAAAAACAGGAAACTGGGCTCAGAATAAGGACAGGATGTGTGTGTATGTGTGTGTGGGGGGAGTGGTGGCCTAGCCAGGGTGCTAACACACTGCCTTGGTAACCTCACCTTCCCCTGTCCACAGGGAAGTTTGTGGGGGTGGAGTCAGCCCAGGGCTCACTGCCCTTCCAGGCTCTAGAGGAGACCTTTGAGTCGGGCTGGTCAGATGTGCAAGGCACTGAGGGCTCCCTGGAAGAAGAGGAAGAGAGATTCTGCCAAGCGCTGGAGCAGCTGGGGGTGGCCCCGGTTCTGGGCGAGTGAGTTGGTGCTGACCCGGTTCCCAGTTCCCTCCTCTACTGTCCCCGCCGTGCATGCTATCTGTCCATGACCCCCATGTGTCTGTTCCAGTTCAGTGGCTCTCTCTTAGCTGGGAGACACTTGGGAGGGGCTGAGCGTGATTTCCCGCATAATTTGCATTTCAGAAGGGCAGCCGACAAGGCTGCGGGAAGAAGGGCAGGCGCCTGGCCCAGCCCTGTGTATATACAAGACACCCCGCTGCCCCACAAGCCCTGTACACACTGACCCCAGGCAGGGACAAAAGCACCCCGGAGAGGGACACCCTGCATGCAGCAAACGTGGCTGGTCTATCCAGGGCTGCAAGTCTCCAGAGGGCTCAGCCTTCGGGATGGGGTCGGGGAGCCCCCGCTCCAGTTTTAGCCTCCGCCCTCCCCCTGCAGGCAGCGAGCGGTGCAGACGCTCTGGACCCGGTTGCAGCGCGAGCGACCCGAGCTGCTGGGCTCCTTCGAGGACGTTCTGATGCGCGCGTCCGCCTGCCTGGAGGAGGCGGCCCGAGAGCGGGACAGCCTGGAGCAGGCGCTGCGGCGGTGAGGGCTGTGGCCAGGGCGAGGCTTGGGGCCAGGTGGCTGGACTTCGGGAGGCGGTAAAGGCGGGGCTGGGGTCTGTAGTGCCGGCAGGCTCGGGCAGCTGTCTCACTCCCGGTCCCCCGAAGGCGGGAGAGCGAGCACGAGATGGAGGTGCGCGGTCTGTACGAGGAGATGGAGCAGCAGCTACGCGAGCAGCGTCGGCGCCTGCGGAATCAGGTGGGCGCGAAGCCCCCGTCCCCGCCCCAGCCCAATCCCAGGCGCGCGTGTCCCCCTGACTCCGCCCTCCCTGAATTCGTTCCACCCGGCCACACCCCCCGCCCCGGCCCCTCCACCGCCCGCTGAGGCTCAGGGGCTCCCCGCGAATCCCAGGAGCTCCCCCGGGAGGAGCGCAGAGGCCTCCTGGAGCTGGAGCTGCAGAACCGCGAGCAGGAGCTGGAGCGTGCGGGCCTGCGACAGCGGGAGGTGAGTGGCCGCCTGCCTGCCGCAGCCAGGGAGGAGTGCGACCCACCCAGCCCAGGCCCCGCCGTCCCCCATGCACTCCCCGGTGTATTTGAGGTCCCCCGTGTCTCAGTGCCCCCGGCCCCGGAATTGCTGGGAGTCGGGGTAAACGCAGCACCCCGAAGAAGAGGTGGAGGGGTCCTCGCCGACTCGGATGCCACCTTACTCGCCAGCTGGAGCAGCAGCTGCAGGCCCGGGCCAGCGAGCAGCTGGAGGCGCAGGCGCAGAACGCCCAGCTGTGGCTGGCCAACGCGGCGCTGAGAACTCAGCTGGAGGGCGCGCAGGAGCAGCTCCGCAGACTGGAAGGCGAGGCGCAGGGCCGCCGGGAGCAAACCCTACGGTGCCTGGGGGTGGTGGTGGGGGGAGGCCCACCCCTAGCATCAGCCCGGGGAGCGGGTGGGGCCGGACCGCCTTGGGGGCCCGGGTCTGGGGCACTTCCATCCCCCACCCATGTTCCATCCCTGCCCTCAGGGTCTGCATGGGCTAGGGTCGTGGGACGCCCCAGGAGCCTCCCTGCACCCCGGTCACCACCTCCCTCCCTCAGAGAGGTGGTCGCAGTCTCGAGGAACATGCAAACGGAGAAGCTCAGTCTCCGGCGACAGCTGGAGCTCCTCAGGTGCCGGAGGAAAAGGGGGTGGCACAGGGGCCGCTGTTCCTGACCACTGCCTCATCCCACTTGGGGGGGGTGTCTGTCCTCCATCCCTCACGCGGCAGCTCCGGCCGGACACCCCTCCTCTGGTCTGAAGGAGAGCAGAGCCCACATGCCCCTCCCCGGAATGCTGCCTCTTGAGAGCTTAGAGCCCTCAGACTCCCTTTCCCTAGGGAGCTGAACACCCGGCTTCGGGACCAGAGGGACGCCTGTGAGGTCAAGCGGCTGAACAGTGGTCGAAGGAAAGCTCTGGCCGTGGCCCGCTTGCCAGGGTCCACCTGCTGCTGCTGCTGCTGCTGGGCTCGTCCTCCGAGACGTGGCTCTGGCCCCCTTCCCAGTGCCCACTGACCATCCCCAAGAGACTTGGAGAAGCCACCCCTTGAAGGTGGTGCATCGTGGCTAGGTGCTGCCCATCCAGCAGACTGCCTCCACGCAGACATGAAGGAACTAATGTAGTAGTGCTGAGTCTCAGGTGCCTTCCTGCTGGTCCTCATCCTGTCCCCATCCCATCAAACCCATCTCTGACCAGCAGAAGAACTCCCTCCTCCTAATAAAGTCCACTGACTGCACTGTGACTTCCTGGGCTGTGTGTGCGAGAGCCACAGGATGCATGTGGCTCACACGTGGGGCGTCCATCAACGCCAAAGGCAAGGGGGTGAATTGTGTGCGGCGCAGGCGCATGGCCCCATGGTGCTGCGCTGCCGTGTCCCTGCACGTCTCTGGTCTTCACGACCTCCCTGTCCACTAAAGCTGAAGCCCCATGGAGACCTCTGTGGGAGCAAGGGGACTGAGACCCATTGTCTCACTAGGGAGCCTGCTCCCAGCCTTAGTTGACCACCCCTCCCCACACGAGTCCTCACACAGACCTGGGTGGACCAGCTGGGCCCACGGGGGTTGAGCCTGTCTCGAGTGGGAACTCCAAAGCGGCCAGAAATTGTTCCTGCGGCCTGGGACACAGCTGCCCCATGCCAGCAGCCGCTTCTCACGCCCCTCCCTCCACCCTCACTGGGAAGCTGGGAGCTGCTGGCCAGAACCATAACTCTGGGCAAGGAGCTGGGACAAGTGCTGCGCACTGTGCATGGAGAGCTACTCGAAATGACTGCAGATTCTGACTGACCCCACCTGGATCTGGGAATGAGCCTGGCGGGTTGGGAGTCCCCTCCCCCTCCTTACTCCCACTGTCGGTTTCCCAGTCCCGCAGGTCAGCAGGCTCTTCCGTTTCCCTCACCCCTTTCCGCGCTTCCCAGGACTGATGCCTTCCAGGCTGGACTGGCTCTGGCAGGGACTCCAGGACTCCGCTCCAGGCCGTCCTCCATATGCACCCAGAGAGACCCCACTCCTGCACCTGATCACACCTCCAGACCCTCCCCCAAGGTCACCGTCTGTTCTGCTGACCCTCTGGCCTCCGGGTGTTTCCTAAGGTTCGAGGAGAGAACCGGAACCCGGGCTGGGCCTAGAGGAGAGCCGGAGTCTTGGACACAGTCCAGAGCCTCCGCTGGGCTGACCGCCGCCGCCTCCATCGCCGCCTCCACCGCCCCCAGCCCAGCTCCTCTGTCCGCCCGCCGCCGCAGTCCCAGGCGGCCCCCCAGAGCCCGCTCGGTCTGAAGTCGCCGCAACCACGCCGCCCTCCCGCGCCGCGCACTGTTGGGACCTGCCCAGCGCCAGCCGCTGTGGGCGGGGCCCGCGGCTCGTGGGCGGGGCTCGCGGCTCGTGGGCGGGGCCCGCGGCTCGTGGGCGGGGCGCGTCGCACTCGCAAGCCCCCAGAGGGCAGTGCAGTCTCAGCGCTCCCTGCCGCCGCCCCCCGAGTCCCCCCATCCCCGCCGCGGCCGCCGCCGGGCCGGACTCGGACGCGTGGCCGGTGAGTCTGCCGCCTGGCCAGGCAGGGAGGGGCCGGATGTCCCGGGACCCTGTGTGGCCCGGACCGCGAGGCCCGGCTGCAGGCGCCCGGAGGGAGGGCCGGGAGCGCCGGGAGGCCCCGTCCGCCGACCGGGCAGCAGCTCCCCCTTGCCGGAGGGAGCCGGACGCGGGGGAGCCGGTGGGCGGAGGGGCACCCGGGGCGGGGCGAGGCGCCTCCTGGGTCTTCGCACAGGCCTGGAGGCCCCTTCGGCCCCAGCTGAGCGCCTTGGTCATTGTCTCTGGACGCCCGTGCCCGTCCCTCCGCCCGGGTGCAGGTGGGCGCGCGGTCGGCTCGCCCGGAGGGGGTTGGCGGCTTCACCGCGGTGACGCGCCGCCGCCTCCGCGGGCCTGGCTGGCGCGGAGTGCGGAGCTTCTGGCCTTGCGGCGCGGGTCTCCCACGGCCCGGGGGCCGGGGTGGGGCAGCCGTGTCCCAGGCCGCAGGAACTATTTCTGGCCGGCGCTTTCCCAGGAGGCTCACATCCGCCAGGCACTCCCGGAAAGAGGGGCCCCTCCTCCGCCGGTCGTCCGCGCGCGGGCCGCGGGGGCTGGGACCTCTCCACCGGCCCAGGGCCAGCCTGCGGGCGCCTGGGGCCTCCAGACCCCCAGCTCCGCGTACCGGTCTGCGTGGCTTGCGGCTACTGCTGCTTGGTGGGGTGAGGGGCAGTGGCGGGTCTGGCAGGAGGGCCCAGGGAGCGGTCCCTCCCCTCCCAGGAGCACACTCTCCAGAAATGTTTTCTGCCCTGCCCACCGAAGCACAGACCAAAATACCGGGCCTGGCCTCTCCCCTCCCTGCCGCTGGGAGTGGACGCTGCCTACTCTGGAAGCCCAGCTGGGCCGGATTCGCGGCCAGGGGCGCCGCAAGGAGGGGGTGACAGGATCTTGCCTATCCAGCGTGGGCCAGACCTGGGACCTGTCCCTGCCCTTCTAGCAGAGCCTCCTAGGGAACTTCTGGTCACCTTACAGAGGAGCCCGTCCCCACCAGCAGCCAGGTGAGTGCTGGGTGGGCGTGGGTGAAAGTCCAGCGCCGGGAGGTGCTGTGCTTGTCTGGAAACGTGGCCTGGGGCGTCCCACTGCCATCTGTGCCCCGGGGCCCTCTCCACCCTCCACAGTGCAGACAGCCCACACCAGAGCAAGCAAGGTGTCCCTGGGTGCCCATGGGCGAGGAGCACAGTCTGTATGGTCCTCTCTTGCTGGGGTTGGGGCGGCTGCCCCCTTTCCAGTAAGGAGGACCAGCAGAGGAAGTACCCCCAGGTCTGGGGAGCCTGTTTCTGCCGGATCCATTCCTTCCTCCCACCCTGGTGAAGCGGAAGGCAGGCCTTCCCTTGACAAACAGCTAAGGGGCTTCCCTGAGGCCACTTGGCTATGAAGGGGCAGATCCGTCTGTGTCCCTGCGGCCTCCCCCGCCAGCCGCCAGTAGGCGCCTGCCAGCCCGCCAGCCCGTGACGTGGAGCCCCGGGAATGCTGCGGTGGGGGCGGGTGGGGCCTGAGTGAGCTCACCCGAGGTGCCTGCTGGGCCTTCCTACCCGGGCTAACAGCAGGGTGAGTCAGCCGGTGGTAGTCGGGGTCCTCCTCATCTCCCCCATGCCCTGGGCTCTGGTCTCGGAAGCCAGGCCCTTCAGCCTTCCAGGGCCGGGCCTTCAGCCTTCCAGGGCCGGGCCTTCAGCTTGGCTGTGGGCAGTAGGCATCCGCTCTGGCTGGGGGGTGGGGGAGCGTTGGGGGTACTGAGCGGGGGAGATGGGGCTCCTGAACCGCTCTCCCCGCAAGCGTCCTGGTTCTGGAACACCTTCGCAGGACGCTCATGCAGCTGTTTGCCTGGCCTTCGGCCGGGTCCGGCCTGGGCATCTGCGTCCTCTCCTACTGCCCCCACTGGTGTCTGGCCGACGCTGCAGTCCCATCTTGGTGCGGGGCTCACTGACATCCCCTCGTCTCTCAAGCCCAGGATGGGGGAGTTCAGTGAGAAGGCGACATGCGGAACTGTTTGCCTCAAGTACCTGCTCTTCACCTTCAACTGCTGCTTCTGGGTGAGGAGCGGGCGCCCCTCCTGCCATCCCGGGTCCCCGAGGGAGCCTTGGCCTGGGGGCTCAGCCCCATCTCTCAGACCTGGGGCCTGAGGTGGTGACTGGCGTGCGCTGCCCACAGCTGGCCGGCCTGGCCGTCATGGCGGTGGGTATCTGGACGCTGGCCCTCAAGAGTGACTACATCAGCTTGCTGGCCTCGGGCACCTACCTGGCCACAGCCTACATCCTGGTGGCGGCTGGCGTCGTTGTCATGGTGACCGGTGTTCTGGGCTGCTGTGCCACCTTCAAGGAACGGCGGAACCTGCTGCGCCTGGTCAGCAGGGTGGTGGGTGGGGGTACCTGAGTGGGGGCCCCCCACCGGGCTGCTGGGGCGGGGGGGGGCGGCCCTGGGGCCCTGATGAGAAAGAAGGGAATGATAGGGGTCGAGGGCGACACTACGGCCCCTGCTGTGGTTGGTGGTGGGGGTCGGGTGGGGTGGCGGTGCTCCCGCCCAACTTGTCCAGCCCCGAGTCCCCACCCCCCAGCGGGGCCCGCTGAGGGAAGACCCCAGCACACCTGCTGCCCGGAGCCCTCTGTGGCCACTTGGGTTCTGAGGTTGGGGATCCTGCTCCGTTGTGCCTGGACACTAGGAATCCGCATGGGACGGGGATGTCTGTGCCCAGCCCACCTGACTGGGTCCCCGTGCCACCCCCCAGTACTTCATCTTGCTCCTTATCATCTTTCTGCTGGAGATCATTGCTGGCGTCCTGGCCTACATCTATTACCAGCAGGTGAGGGGCCTGGAGGGACAGGAACCCGGAGGAACACACGCACACAGGGACACACACACACAGATGTGCCGTGTAAGACAGGGACACACAGACACAACCCCGCCATGCTCTGGAGCTGAGCACTGGGCCATGAGGCCCTGGGGACGGGGGCTGGATCACAGTGGGGAGGATGGGACAGCACGGATGGACAACCCACCTGTCACACCCAGACTGCCCGGCTGGGGTCTCGCGTGGGGAGGAAAGTGTCCATGGGATCCGGAGCTCCCTCCCTGTCCCCAACTCTGTCCATGGCCACCTGGTGACTCTCCCAGTCCAGTTCCCCCTCCACCCCTGCAGCCAGCAGCTGGCCCTAACCCTGCTTGGAGGCTTTCCCAGACCTTTTCCCCATCTGCACCTGCCTCCACCTGTCCCAACTTGGGGGGTCTGGAACTGTGCAGCTGAACACCGAGCTCAAGGAGAACTTGAAGGACACCATGACCAAGCAGTACCGCCAGCCAGGCCATGAGGGTGTGACCAGTGCTGTGGACAGGCTGCAACAGGAGGTGGGTGGGGGCGTGGTGGGGAGTGTGCACAGCCCTGCTGGCCTCCCTGCACCTCTGGGGGTGCCTTGGGGGCTCAGCTGCACCGTGTTCCTGCTGTAGTTCCACTGCTGTGGCAGCAACAACTCCCAGGACTGGCGGGACAGCGAGTGGATCCGCTCTGGCCAGGCAGGTGGCCGCGTGGTTCCCGACAGCTGCTGCAAGACCGTGGTGCCAGGCTGTGGGCAGCGGGACCATGCCTCCAACATCTACAAGGTGGAGGTAGGCCGGCAGGTGCCTGGACTCCCTGGTGAGGGGCGGAGGAGCCAGGGGCCCAGGGCGTGGGGGTGGGACCGGACTTGCCCGCCTTCAGTGTCCCTACCCTACCCCACCAGGGCGGCTGCATCACCAAGCTGGAGACCTTCATCCAGGAGCACCTGAGGGTCATCGGGGCAGTGGGCGTTGGCATTGCCTGCGTGCAGGTTCGGGGGTGGGGGGGACAGGCCCCGGTGGGTGCGTGGCGGGGTGTCCCACGAGGCTGGCGCTGTGTTGCGCTCACGCGGGCTCTGTGGTAGGTCTTGGGCATGGCCTTCACGTGCTGCCTGTACAAGAGCCTGAAGCTGGAGCACTACTGAGCACACGGTCCCGCCGGCCACAGCTCCACCCAGCTACTGAGCTGACACTACTGAGGGCTGGGGAGCCGGGCTCCCAGGGTGCTGGTCCTTCCCCACTCCGCCCGAAGCGTTCTCCAGCCTGTGCACCCACCCCACGCCAATGACCTCTGGGGACCCCTACCCTCAGAGGCACCTGCAAGTGCCTTTCTCCGCAGACGCACCCCTGCCCCAGCGGGGAAGGATGACTTCTGCCTGCTCGGGAAGTCTCGGGGTGCTTCCTGCGCTCAGCCAGAGGGGCTGGCCCACTCTAGGGTGCTCGCACACTCCCGGACACACCCTTGTGCGGTGGTCGGGGCAAACCCGAGGGGGCACTGCTGGGTGGGGGCGGCGCCAGGGAACACAGGACGGCTCCTGGTGGGCAGTGCCAGGTGCCCACCACTGGACCACAGACCCCCGCCCACTCCCGGGAAAGCTCAGCCAGCCCGTCCTGTGGGTCCTGTGCCTCTGCCCTCCCCAGCCTGGCTTCTGCTGCCCCAAGCCCTGCTGGGACTTCCCCACCACTCTCCTCACTCAAAGGCCACACGTTCACTGTGTACTGCCCTGCCCCCTTCCCAGAAGCAAAGCTTTGTGGGTTTTATTCACTGCTGTATCACAAATGCCTAGAACCGCTCGTGCCACGTGATAGGCGCTCAATAAACGTTTGTGGAACGGACACGTGAGCTTACTGTTCGTGACAGACTGGGTCCTGGTCCTCAGGGCCGTCCCCCTAGCCGGGTGGACAGAATCACCCACCCAGTGCCAGGACAAGGGGCCGGGAGGGCATATCCCAGGGATCCGGAGCAGCCACATGTGAGCCAAGGATCGAGGGGACTCCAGAGAGAGGAGAGCTAGTAGCAGGGACGGCTGGCCACAGGCTGAGAAGTAGAAAAGCCTTGTCCATTCTGGGACAGGAGAGGGGCAGGGCTGGAGCCTCCCAGAGGCAATGGAGGCCTCAGACAGCCTGGGCCTGCTTGTCTCCAAATGCCCTCTGGCCTGTGTAGCCGTCAGGGGCTGGGGGAGGCCTCTGGAGCTGACACGAGAGGCTGGAGCTCTGCAGGACCCAGACCCTGGGCAGATCCTGCCTGCCCTTACCCTCGCACAAGGTCTGTCCATGGGCCGTCAGAGGACCCTGTGTCCCACGTCCGGGCAGCAGTGTTTGCTCCGAAGAAGGTGCCCAAGAAACTCGCCTCCCTCTCCCCCAACCACACACTCCCACCTACTGCCCGATGGAGGACACCAGAGCCTGCTGATCAGGGGTGACAGCTGCTGGCCTGAGCCTGAGCCAGAACAGGACAGAAGCCCCCAGCAGAGAGCTCTTCGGGCAAGTCCAGTCCAAGGGAGTCCATGCTAATGGCCAGGGCACTGGGAGCTTAGCAAACCCTGTCACCCCAGAGTCTCCCCAGGGCTGGCTGTGGAGGCTGTGCACTGCCCCTCCCCCTCCACAGGGACTAGGCCAAGGGAAGGAGACTGCTGAGCTTGGCTGGAGCCAAGAAGCTTCTGGCAGCAAGACCCTCAGGACCGGCCGCTGAGGCCACAGCAGGTGTTCTAGTCAAGCCCCAGAAAAGCACGTGAGGATCTCTGTGCTCGGCCTACAGGGGACCCAGGACCTGAGGGTGGGCACACCCGTGTCCCTTGCGACCCCAGCCCCAGCGCTCTCGGTTGGCTGTGCCTGCGAGAGCCCCGCTCCAGGAGACCCCCTCTGCCTGCTGAATGGCGGCCAGCTGGCTGGCTCCCCCTCCCCTGGGCAGTGGCAGCCACGGCCACCCCAAGCAGCTTCAGGCACGAGGCAGGACGCAGAAACGCCAGCGGCGCGGAGCCACACAGAGCCACACCGACATCAGGACCTCGTCTCGGTTCTGCGAAGACCTTTACTGGACAGCTGCCCGCGGAGCAGAGACACAGGCCCAAGGGCGGAGGGCAGGGCCGGCAGGCGGGGTAAGCCTCCCGCGGGGAGCAGGGCGGGGGCGCCAGACCCTCACTTCTCCAGGGGCGCGTAGTTCAGCAGCTTCTCGATCAGGTCGACGTGCGCCAGCAGCATGCGGCGGCAGCAGTAACGCTTCAGGCCAAGCGCGTCCAGGGCATCCCTGCAGCGAGAGGAGCAGACCTGCTCGTCCAGGCCACCCCGGGGGCACGGAGCGCCCTGCCCGCGGCGTCCGCGCCACGCGTCAGGGACGGACACGTCTCTCCAGGAAGCCACCTTCCTCCCGTCTCTCAAGCCAGCTAGAGTGGTCAGCGCCCCTGGGACCCGGCCCCAGCCGCCCTAAAGGCCTCCGGGCAACGCCCGCGGCACCGCTCCGCTGCGCAGCGACGGCAAGGTGGGCAGGGGACGCCGGCTCGGGCAGCTCCCACCCGGGGAATCCAGGGGAAGCGGGTCCCGCAGTCCCCTCGCCCCCGCGCCCCGCCGCAGCCTACCTGCGCACCGCGGCCCCGACCTCGTCCTCTGCCCCTGTGCCCACGCCCCACAGACCCCGGACCCCGCCGCCGCCCCGGAGTCCTGCAATCCCGCACCTGCGAACGAGCCGTCGCCCCGCGCCCCCGCAGGCGAGGACCCCGGGACCCCGGCTCCCCAGCCCCGCGCGGCACGGCGCCTCACCCCTCGGTGTACTCGGCCTGCAGCAGCCCCAGGTAGGCCTCCCACTTGTTGCCGACGATCTTGCCGCAGGTGAAGCAGCGAACCGGGATGATCATGGCGGCGGCGGCAACGCAACGCCCGCACGGCCGGATCTGGCGGCGCTTCCGCCGCGGAGCCGGCCCCGCCTCGGGCGCGTCCATGGCGCGGGGGGAGAGGGCGTCCCGTTTCCCCGCCCCCGGCCGCCCCCAGCCAGCCCCGCCGGCACCGGGGCCGCCGCCGTTGGCTCCCCGCCGGGCAGAGCTCCCTCCGCGCGGACCGGGGGCTCCGGGGCCCGCGTGGCCGCGGCAGGAGCAGGCGGCGCTCCCCCCGTCCGCAGCTTTGGTACGTCCCGGACTACGGGGTCCTAGCGGGGCCTGAAGGGCCCGACGGCGGCGGTTCGCCTTCCTCGTGTCCGCATGACTGACAGCCGCGCGGCAGGCGGACCGCGCGCAGGTACCGCGCCGGTCGTGGGGACGCGGCCAGGGTCCCGTCCGCCGCAGCCCCCGAGCCGGGACCCGGAGCCGGGCCGAGCCGAGGCGAGCCGGCGCAGAGCTGGAGTCCCGAGCGCGGAGCCCCGAGCCGAGCCGCGGCAACAAGTGGCCGGGCCGAGACCGGGACCGGGACCGGGGCCGGGGCCGGGGCCGAGGGCGCGGCGACCCGCGGCGGGGGTTACCAGGGGCTGGCCGGCGGCCGGCGGGGGCCAGCGGGGGCGGGCGGCCACGGACGGGCCTTCCCGCTGTCCCTGCTGGCGCGTCCCTCCAGCCCCGCCTGGAGCCCCTGCCGCGCGCGCCCGGGGGCCCGGGGGGTGTCTCTGGGGCCGAGTTCGGCGGTCCGGTTCTCAGCCGTGGCCCGGCCCGCTCGCCCGCACGGTGTCCGTCCCGGCCGGGCAGTCACCTGCAGCTCCGCCGTCGTCCTCCCCGCGCCCCAGCGATCCGCTACGGCTCGCGTCCTTCCTCCTTTCCTCCCGAGGAAGGGGTCTGGGAGGGGGTGCGGGCCGGGCTGTGCCGGGTAGTCCGTGATCTGGGGGCCTCGGGCCTCTGAGGACTCAGAAAGCAGCGGACGCTGGAGAGGGTGGTCAGGGAAGGCGTCATGGAAGTGGTGCCTTGTGAGTTGAACCCTCAAGAGCAGGATTTTCACCAGGGGTGAGCCCGAGTGTGTGTAAGGGAGGGGACTGATCCTGGCAAAGGGAACCCTTAGATATAGGCCTGGAGGCCAAACCTGTGGGCTGCTCTAGGCCACAAGTTTGTGCCAGGGCCGGAGGAGGTGGTGGAGTTAGAGGTGATGGGTCAGGAACCACAGAGGATTTAAAGGAAGATCTGGCAGTGTCTCTGCAAATGGGGCAAGGTGAGCTCCTTGGCCCCTGGGGCTGGAGGCTGAGGAGAGATCAGTGTGCAGCCAGAGGCAAGAAAGGCTCCCTGGAGGAGGTGAATTTCTGGGCGGTGAGGGATGGCTGTGCTGCAGAGTGGCACCCGTGACTCAGGGGGTGTGTTGGTGGGAGGGGCTTGGCCAGGTTCCCAGCCCTGAGGTATCTGGACCCCTGCTGGTGGTGAGTGGGGCCTGTGCTGAGTCCCAGGCATCAGCTTGTGGCCCTCTCAGGGTATATGATGCATTTTGGCCTTAGCTGAGGGGGAGGGAGCCAGAGGGTCCCCTGGGGCCTGGGTGGGGCTGGCCATAGCTGCGTCTGGCCTGGAGTTTGTGCCCCCACCTTTGCCTGGGTCCTGGACAGCCTGCCCAGTGCATTTGTCATCCCCCCGCTGCCACGTGCAGAGCCACGAGTGAGGCTACTTCCCTTCCTAGCTGACCCCCCACCGCACCCACTGGACGCACATCCTGTCCCTGGACAGAGGGACAGGACAGGGGGCCTTGAGTCCCAGAGGCCTGGGGTCAGACCCACGCTCAGCGGCAGAGGCTGCTGGCAACTGTGGAGGTGAGGGACAGGGTGGAGGGGATCCAGGCTGTCTGCGGGTGGGCCTTGGGGAGCTGGTGGGGGTGGAAGGCTTCCTGGAGGAGGAGCCCAGGGCCTGCCCCACCCATGCTCTGGCCCCAAGCTGTTGTTTACTCCGAAAGAGTGAGGGGAATGAGCCTCCCTCCCTGATTCTGGCCGGAGCCGAGTTGACATTCCTGGAATTCTGAGAGGGGTGTGTGGATTTGGGGGTGGCGGCGGCCTCCTCTTCCTGGGCTCCTCCCTCCAGCTCCCTGATTTCCGAGGATACGCCATGGGGAGCCTCCGGGCTGCCCCACTTCAGCCTGTGTGCCTGCCCCCAGCACAGGTGTGCAGGAAGGCCCCTTGGGGGGCTTGGTCCTCTTCCCTGTCTCTACTGTCTTTGCTCTGCCCCGACTGGGGGACACTTGGGAGCCTCAGCGGTCAGCCCTGCCCCCTGCCTCTGCCCTGGGTGGCTGAGTCCCTCCATTTGTGTGTGTGTGTGTGTGTGTGTGTGTGTGTTGTGGGGGTGTAGCTGGGCCCTGGGCCAGGCTGTCCTCAGGGTGGGCAGGAGGGAGACATGGAGGCCCAGGGCACCAGTGGGGAATAGGGGCGGGTGCCTCGCCCGCCTGCAGAAGGGGGGCCCTTGCTTCTCCTCTCTGTGTGCAGTGTCAGCACAGATGTGGCCCAGGGCTCGGGGGAGGGAGAGTGCCAGTTTTTCAAGAATGGGCTATCCTGCCCCCAGTGGTGGGAGGCACAGAGAGGAAGGGAGGGCTGTGCTCCCATGTGGTTGGGAACCCGTGAGCCATGTTTCCTGCCAGAAGAGGGTCACTGAAGGGCAGGCTGGGCACAAGGCGAGATCAGCGGGTGATTTTGCAGCCGAGACGCCCGGGCCCAGAGCACTGCCCCTTACACGGGGAGTCCACTGCCCCTGCCCGCTGGTCCTGGTACCAGTTTGAACAACCTGTGGGTAGAACCAGAGGCCGCCCAGCTGGAGGGTCCCGATCCTGGCTGTGCTGGCTTGGCCCCTCTTGCTTTGGGCAGATGCGCAGGGTGTGGTGGGCTCCCCTGCCCACGGTATCCATGCTAGCCCTGGGCCCTGGTGGTGTTTGCAGGCGTGACTGAGGCGACTGCCCTTACCTGACCGCCGTCTGGACAAGCCTGGGCTGAGGGCATTTGGGGACAGCGTGCCCTGTAGGGCTTCCGTAGGGGTCTTGGTGGCTTGGAGGTGGGCGGGCATACGCTATGGGTGCCTGAGGCAGGGTGCTCCCAGGGCCTGCGGTGGGTGGAAATGTGGCCCCCCTCGGGGTCCTGATGGTGTCCTCTCCACTGCCACCTCCAGCAGAGAAGTACCTGGCAGAGGAGGAGCAGGGATGTGGGGGGAGACCCTGAGGTGGGGGGGTTGGCCTTGCTGGGCCCAGGAAAGGCCGGGGGCCCCTTGGTGGCTCTTCTGAGGGACCGTCCCCCTGGACTGGGTGTCTCCCAGCCCAGGAGTCTTGCCTCAGCTCTGTGTGGCACTGGGGGGCGGTGCGGGGAGGTGCGCCCCTCCCCCACGGCGGGGGCCCCGGGTGGGCCTTGGGCCTGCGGGGCTGGATCAGCAGCAGGAAGGCGGACACCACAGACTGTTTGTGTTGGCAGAGCCTCCCCCTCCTCAGAGCCGCCTCAGAGCTCTGCCGGGGGCCCAGGGCAGGCGGCTGTGCTCTGCAATGCCTGCGGTCCACCGTCCCCCCAGATCTCCCCTCTGGGGCTCAGGGTATGCCGCGCCCTTGGCAACCTCCCATCATTGTTTAGGCTTTTGGGGTGGTTCCTCTTGGAGCGGGACCTGGGTCTGGCCAGGTGGGTGCACAACCCTCTCACGGCTTATGCCCCCCTAGGGCCCCCCAGCTGCTCGCAAACCCCAGAGCCCTGGCGAGTCAGGAAGACCCAGCCCAGGACTGTAGGTGTGTTTCCTTGGGGCTCTCCCTCAGCCCGTCCCTGATGCTGCTGCAGCTACCCTTCCGGGGGTACAGGAGTGTCACACCCTGCATTCAAAGGAAGCCCAGAGAAGACAATGGGAGGGAGGCTTCCTGGAGGAGAGGCGGGACTGGAAGGAGAGATGGAGCCCTCCCTGGTCCTGTCTGGTCCCCGCACTCTGCCCCAGCAGCAGGCTTGTGTCTGGGTAGCCCTAGATGGGAGTGAGAGGCTCTGGACTCGTAGAGGGGCACTGTGGGAGCCAGAAGGGCTAGAGATCATCTATGGAGGGGCCGGGGCTGCCAAGGGGGTGAGGGCTGTCAGTGTGGCTGGGCAGCGGTCTCCTCCAGCCTTGGCTTCGTGTTGGCCATGGGACTTCCTCATTTTGGGGGCCCAGGAGGGTTGGGGGGGCTGCTGCTGGATCTGCCCTTTAGGCCCTGCCTGGGAGGCCCATCCCCACCGATGCCCAGGTCTTGGGGTGTGGAGGCATGGTGGGGTACGATGCATGGTTTTTAGCTTCTAGAATGTTGCTGTGGGTTTTGGGCCCCATAGCTCCTGGAGCGGCGGTTATCAAGGGAAGTGGATGAGGTGTGTTCCCTCCCCTGCCACCCCCCACCCCCGAACGCACTGCCCTTGCTACTTTCTGGGCCTTAAAGCCCTCCCTGGCTGCTCCATCCCTGGGCACGGGGACTGCCAAGGGATCGCAGGTGCATCCTCTCCTCACCAAGGTTCTGGGGAGGACAGGTCACCTGCAGACCTCCATCTGCTCACTGGCCTGCTGTCAGCCCTAGACATAGTTTGGTGGACTGGCGGAGGTGGGCTGCCCCTGAGAGGATGGGCGTGGGGGTGGACACCTCCCATGGTGACGTTTTGAACCCTGTGGTCCCCTCTGCCCTTGGGCTGTGGGGAAGACCGCTGCCACCCCTGCTCCCGGGCTGGAAGGAGCACCTGCTGTGAGGAGGGAGAGGTGGGGGGCCTGACTGGGACGCCTTCAGACACCTGCCCCGTGAGCTTGGGATCCCCTCCTTGAGGCCTCTGGCTGGTGGAGAGGACAGAATCCTCCCACGAATGCCGGTGGCAGGGGAACGGGCCTGGTGAGTCATCACTGGCCATCTGGGTGGGGGGAGAGTGGGGTTGGTGGCTCAGGGCGCACATGTGCTTGGAGCCCAGGAATGGGTGCGCTGCGGGCCATCTTGGGGGAAGTGGACACCGAAGGCTGGACATCTGGGGTTCAGGCCGTGACCCCCACATGGCCTGAACACGTATGTTCTCTGTACACACAGACCCCACGTGCGCTGCCTCCGTGTCTGCGTGCCAGCCTGCCTCCCTCCCTGGGCACCTTGGGTTGGGAGCAGAGCCCTCTTTGAACCTCCCTCCCCGCCCCTGTTCTGGTCCCCTGCGTCTCACAGTGCACCCCTACCTGGCCCCCAGCTGCCCTCTCTGGCCCTTGTAGGGACATGGTCCTGCGTGGAGGACTGTTCCTCCTTCCCGAGGTACCCGGCCAGCCTCTGGGAGCCCCACAGTCGGTACCACGTGGTCTCCACTGTACCCATCTTTCCTTGCATAGGGCTCCAGCCTGCCTTGGCTGACCTGACCGCTGGGGAACCGAGCACCGCCTGGCCTCTTTCCCGTGGCAAGCGCAGGTATGTCACGGTCTGGCGGGGCAGTAGTGGAGCTGACTTGCATGGCCTTGTGGGCTCCTCCACTCCTGGCCCAGGGCCCTGCCAGCTGGATGTTTGCCTGGTCCCTGCGCAGACGGTCTCCTGAACATGTCTCCCTGGGCCCCACCTGCTGGAGGAAGGGGACTCCTTGTGGGAAAGGCTGGACAGGGTCCCTGATGCTGGGCCGATGCATTGAGGGAAGCCCCCCCTTCTGGCCTCAGCTCTGATGGACCTGTGTCCTCATTCCAACTGGCCCCAGGACCCTTGGATGAATTTTCCAATTTTATTTCAGATCAGACTGTCCTACTCACTTGCAGGGGGCTGCAGGGTTTTGCAGACGGGATGTTTGGGAGATGTTGGGATGGTGACAGCTGGGTGACAGAGGTGAGAGCACCCTGGGCGCTGGAGCCCGCTCCAGCGTGATGAAGGGGTTCCAAGGGGGGCTCAATGGGGAGTCCTGCCTATCTCTGCTCTCCTCCCAGCCTTGGCCAAGCCCACTTCCTCACCCTCAGAGGCCCTGCCCAGGGAGCCAGGCCAAGGGAGACAGCCTCCTGCTCCTCAGGCTTCCGGCTTCCCCCCGCCCCCTCCCCCCACAAGCTGGCAGTAGGTTTCCTTCTGCCCTGGAGGCCCGTGTGCCTCCCTGAGTGTGTCTGACCCCTGCCCCCACTTGTGGGGGTGCTGCATGGGGGGTGAGATGGGGTGAGGCTCAACCTGGATCCTCCCTTGGCCCGTGTGCACCACAAGTGCACTCACACGTGCTCCCACACGACCTCCAAGTGTCCACCCTCTGACAGGGCTGTGGAGCTGGCCGACTCGGGCCACGGGGGCGCCAGGGTCTCGAAGGCGCCTCTTGTTCCCTGAGCAGAGCTGTGGGTAGAGGTTTTTGCAGTGCCCGGGTGGGGCCACCGTGGCGTCCCTTTCCTGGGGCCCAGACACACCAAAGCACACTTGGGGTTGGGAAGGGTAGAGGGGCTGTGGGAAACCTCAGGCTAGCCAGCTGGGTGACACAGCTGGAGTCTGGGACTCTCCTGTCCCCACTGCTGCCAGGGCCAGCTCTGCTCTGGGGGAACCTCCTTCAGACGCTGCCCTGAGGCCTGGAGCTGCAGTTCTATGAAGGACCTTCAGGGGGCGGCAGAGGGCTGATGCTAGTGCTCCTCAGGGCCCAGTAAGGCTGCCAGACCTCGTTGGGTCCTCAGCCCTCCAAACAATCCTGCTCTGCTTGCTGCACAACCCCCAGACCTGCTGCCTCCCTCACTGCTCAGTCTGTCAATATGTCACCTTGTCAGTATCCCTTCCCTTGCACCCTTGCTTCCCCCTCTCCCACCATCTTCCTCTCCCTCCCATCTCTCTCCCCTCTGAGCTCTGTTACCCAATGCTCAGGAATCCTGCCAGCCCTTCCCTCTTTGGACTTCAGTGTCTGGAACTGTCTGCTGGGTGGACACTGCCAGGGGACTCCCGTGGTGACCTGGTAGAGGCCTTGGCTACAGCCCAAGCCCAGGGTGCAGGGCACAGACCCCAGGCCCAGAGCGCCGTGGGGAGGGGGCTCAGCTCTTTCTTAGACAGGAAGGGGGCATCTGGCTTACGTGCTGTGCTGCTGTCTGCCCGCAACACCAGGGGGCCCAGAGACCCTGCTGCCCCTACCAGTGGGCGCAGCTGAGGGGACGTTTGTCCCCATCTGTGATTGTGTGTGTCCCTAGAGACCGTTCCTGACGTACGTGTGTCTGTACCCCAGCATGCACGCACACCCCGAGTGACAGTCTGAGGGTGTGTGTCCCAGGGTGTGTGCAAGTCACCCTGGGAGTGTGGGAGCTGGGCTTGGGTCCACGTCTGCACTTGAGTGTGGGAGGTGCAGGGTCTGACTTGTAGCCCAGGCTGGTGCGAAATAAGACCGGAGGCCCCCTCAGAACTTATCAGTAATTTCAAGACAGTGGCAGCAGTCTTCTGTGTGACTGTACGGTCACATGCTGCGGAAACCGGCCCTTCTCCCAACCCTGGAGAAGCAGGACCAGGGGAGGGTCAGCCTGCCCTGGCCGCTGAACAAGCCGTAGGAGTTGAGGTCCGGACCCGTTTTCAGGTGCCTAGTGATACCCCTGCCCTGTTGTGTGCTTGGGCCCCTCCCTGTGGGTCTGAAAGCCTCCCTGTTTCTTGCAGAGTGACCTGCCTTCCTACCTCCTGGGCACCCTCTCCACTTGGCCTTCCCTGCCCCAGCCCCTCTCAGGGGCAGTCCCGCCTCCTCCCCCAGCAAGGTAACCCCCCCCTCCCCAGGGTGGGTAACCCAGTCTGATTCCTGTCCCGACAGAGGCCTCTCCCCATCTAAGGTGTGAGCTGCGGGGGCTCTGGAGTCCTGGCGCGGGTGTCGCCAGCCCAAGCTGGGAGTGTGGGAAGCCGCTTGAGAGTGCGCACCCCAGGCGCTGTTCCGGGCTTTGTAGTCTCACTCCGGGCGAGGAACCCCCAAGTCGAAGCTGCCCCGGGTCATCACCAGAAAGCAACTGGGTCACCCCTTCATTTGCATAGCGCCCTGCATCTCGAGTGCGGTGGCAGGTCTCCAGGCCCGGCGGGGGGCAGTGCGGCCGCGGCGGTAGATTGGCGGCGGGGGGGGATCCCCTCGTTCCCGGGGCTGAGAGCTGCCTGGGGCTCCGCCCTCGGCCCCCTCCGACGCTGTCCCTGCCGTTCGAGAGCGTCTTCCTCCCCGGCCCGGGGAAGGCGAGAGCGAGGGGCGCCAGCGCGGGCGGGGCGGGGTCGGGCCGTCGCCCCGGTGCCGCGATTGGCCAGCGCCGGCGGAGTGGGGGGATTTGCCGGGCGGGGCGGTGGGCAGGGGAGGGCAGGGGAGGGCAGGGGAGGGGTCCGCAGGGCGGTGCGGCAAGGTGGGAAGGGGTGCGCGGGCGAGGCGGGCGCGGATTGGCGGGGCTGAGGGGAACGGGGCGGGGGGCCGGGGGCGCGGGGCGGGGCGGCGCGCCGGGGGGCCCCGGGGGGGCCGGGGCGGGGGCCCCGGGGGGGATGCGGCATTCCGGGGCGGTGGGCGCGGGGCGCTGAGCCCGGCGGCGGCCCCTGCGCGATGCGCCGCTCGAGCACGGACGAGTCCACGTACCGGCGCAGCCCGTCGCCGGAGGGCAAGGAGCCGGGCTTCGCGCGCGACGGCCCCTTCCGGCGCTACAGCAGCCTGTGCGGGCGCGCGGGCGCCGGGGACGGCGGGGACGGCGGGGACGGCGGCCCCTTCTTCGGCCTGCACGCCAGCCCCGGCCCCAAGGCGGCCCAGGCGCGCTACACGTCGCCCAAGGGCAACAAGTACGTGGTCTTCTACCTGGACCTCTCCTTCATCTTCCTCCTAGAGTTGAAGCGCTGCGGCATGGCGCGCGGCTGTCTCCAGGGCGTCAAGTTCCTCATGTTCGCCTTCAACCTGCTCTTCTGGGTGAGTGGCGGCGCCCGGGAGCGAGCTGGAGTCGCTGCTGCAGCGGGGATGGGGGGCGAGGCGCCGGGACGCAGACGGGCCGGGCTGTGCGCGCAGGGTCGCGGCTCGGGCCGGGGGCCAGGGCTGGAGCGGCCGTGGGGGGCGGGGGCGGGCTTCCGGTCCCGCGAGGCTCTGGCGGAGGCTCTGCGGCCGGGGCCGCTGCCCGCGTCTTGCCCCTCTCCTCCTGAGACCGGACGTGTCCCGCACCTGCGCGCGGGACAGGGCGGCGGGGCGCCCGCATTCCAACGCTGGTCGTGGCCGGCGGCGCGCTGGAGCTGATGCCTCCCTTCGGTTCCCTCCCCTCCCACCGCGCAGCGGGCGTCCTTTCTTCGACCCGCACACCCCGCCTCCCCGTCCCCAGTGGACTGACCAAGTAGGCCCAAGGACCGGGGTTCTAAAGGGGCTGTTGGGGGCCAGGTGGACCCGACCATCCTCTAGAGGCCGTGGATGGGAGGGGTGTGTGCAGCGGTTCGTGGGAAGGGAGGGGGTGCACAGCGGTGAGTTCTCTGGCTGGGCCTCTCACCGGGCAGGATGGTGGGCCACCAAGTGTGCTAGGGACGTGTCTGGCGTCCCTGCTGGCTCTTCTTCCTGCATGGTGTGTGTGTGTGTGTGTGTGTGTGTGTGTGTGTGTGTGGTGGGGTGGGGTGGGGTGGGGTGGGGTGGGGGTGCTCCCATAACTCCAGAGGCGCAGCAGGCCCTCCTGTGGTCTTGTCTCACCTGAGCAGGTTGGAACAGGCCTGGCTGGGCTGGGCTGGGCTTCTCCTGCTGGGCTGGGGGAGGCTGGGGGGATGCCAAGGTCACTCCCTCCTCCTTCCAGAGCAAAGAGTAAGGGGGTGTGGCCCAGGCTCTGGACCCCCAGGAGGAGGCTGAGCTTTGCACGCTCATCTTCAGGCCAGATGCCCAGAAGCCGGGGTCCCCCCCTGCCCCTTCCTCCCTTCTCAGGCTGTGCTTTTCTCTTCCCAGCTTGTGGTGGTTGGAGTCAGGGGTCCCCGGGAGGGGCGGCCAGCCTGGGCTGCCCTGTGGTGTGACCCAAGGGGGCTCCTGGCCCAGGTGCCTGCTTCCAGAGGCGGTCACCCCAAGAGTTTGTTCTCCACAAGAGACTCCTGGCAGGGGTGAGGCCCCGGGCCGGAGCGAAGCGCTGTGAGGCCAGGAGCCAGCAGCAGGGGTGGATGGCAGCTGGGCCCTAGGCCCGGGACTGGGGTGAGCATCTTCTCTTGGTGGGGGATGTTGATGAGATGCAGTGGGTGCCAGTGTGATGGGTACCGAGCAGTTGGCAGAGTTGGCATGTCACTATGGGTGACCGCACCTGACAGTGGTGGTTGTCACAGATCCTGGGGTGGTGGGTGTGCAGGAGAGTCAGGTCCCAGGAGGTGGGCAAGACTTGCCTCTTCCCTCATCTGCCCTCCTCAGTATCTGGGGAGCTGCCCACAGGCAGAGGGAGAGGGGCCCCCTCCAGGGCCCAGCCACCCCCGCCGCGGGTCCCCAGGCTGAGCTGTCTTTGCCCTGTGAAGCCTGAGGAGCAGCCGACCAGCGGCAGGACAGACACGCTCTGCCAGTGTCTGCGGTGGGTCAGAAACCCCTTTGGGATCCCCTCCTGGGCAGGACAGTCCATTTCCCTTTTATTCCACAATTCTGCCTCCCTGCAAAGCCAGCTGGCCCCCTGCTGCTGACCTGGGCCTGTCCCTGCCCCAACATGGTGCCCAGCCGGGATCTGAGACCTGGAGGTCAGAGAGGGCATCGGGGCCTGCCCACAGCCCGTGGGAAGCACTCGTGAGGTGTGGTGCGAATGGTCAGGGGGCTGAGTCCCTGCGCCAGTGAGCCTGCGGGTGGCGGGGACAGAGGCTACAGCACCCTTCCCCAGGCCTCAGCTTCTTTGCTACCTGAGGGTGCTGGCCCCCCAGCCCATTTCCCACTGTCACTGGGAGACCTCTGAGTGTCATGCCTTAGTCTCCCCTGGAGCTAACTGTAGGGTCAGGGCCGCGGTTGTGGGTGGAAAGTCCTCGAGGGCTGGACCTCAAGACACTCATCTGTGTCAGTCCCTCTGACCCCCGCCCTACAGGGCCAGGCCAGGGGGGAGGTCATCATGTGCGGCTGGGGTGGGGGGGAATTGTGTCTGAGGGGGCAGCCATGCCTGTCCTGGGTGTGGCTCCCAGAGGGAGTGGGTGCCCAGGGCCCTGGTGGGGGGGGGGGCAGGAGTCCAGGCTGCAGGTGCAGATGGGGGGAGGAGAACAGGAAGGTGAGGAGCCCCTAAGGCACCATCCCTCATACCTGTTTAGAGGTCAAGGTGCAATGACTTCTCTAAGTTTGTCTCATCCTCGTCTTGGCTCTCCTTTCCAAGCCCCGCCAGGCACCCCTTTCCCTCAGGGCCTCGATCCTGCTGAAGGTAGAATCCCACAAGGCCGTCACATGGACCCCTTGAGGCATCCGCACGCCTGTTTTCTCCAGCTTTGCTGTCCACATCCCATCTGCTCCCCAGGCCATCGGGTGGCCCTGGCCGTTCCTGACTCGGCCTGGAGGGGCAGGAAAGGGGGAGGGCTCAGCCGATAATTGACTCTGATTCAGGTGCCCCATTCGATGGGTTTTCCTGGGGGGCGCCCTCGTGGTTGGGCAGGACTGAAGGTTCCAGCCGCAGGTCCTTGTCGGGCAGGCAAGAGTCATCACCTCGCTGTCCTGGGCCGCAGCCGCCTGGTCCTGTGTGGACGGGCTAGGTCACAGGCTCCTCTCAGCGAAGGAAGCAGGCCTGCCTCTTGTCTCCAGTGCTGCCGCCGGGGTGGCCTGAGTGGGGGGAGCTGGAAGAAACCGGCACCCCCTGGAGGAGGAGAGGGGCAGAGGCGCTGGTGATGGGGGCCCCGCAGAGTTCAGAGCCAACTGACCCCCAGACGCTCTCCGGCCTTCCCGTAGCAGGTGGGGCCCTTGCTGGCAGCAGACAGCTCCAGCAGGGACACAATGGCCCTCCTCGGAGGCCTGCATATGTATCGAGCACCTTAGGGCCAGGGTCCCCACGATGGGGGCAGGGGTGTCTCCCGGGAGCCCCATCCTGGCAAAGAGGGCCCTGTTCAGTATGCGGGAACAGGTGGGGTGTACCATGGGGTGCTGGGCGTGGGGTGAGGGTTTGGGGCTGTTCGGGTCCCTACAGTGACAGAGGGGGAGGTGGAGGCCCAGGGTGGGGAGAGGGGGAGGAGGTGCCCTTCCAGCCTCCCCTGCTCTGGGGCAGACTGCTCAGGGCTTTCCCAGGGGCAGTCTCTGTGCCCCAAGTGGTCCAGGTGTGGGGGGCACCTGGGCAGAGGAGGGTCTGAGCCCAGCAGGGCCAGGGTGCTTGTGTGTCTCCTCTGGGCAGGTGCCCAGCTTCTCCCAGATTCAGATCAGCCAAGCTGAGGGCCCGCCTTCCTGCTGCTTCCCTGGTGGGTTTCCCTCCAGGCCCCCTTCCCACCTCTGGGCTGCTCCCCACTCTGCCTCTCTCTGCGCGTGTGGGCAGGGTCCCTTTTGCATGGCTGGGGTGGGGGTTGGAGCCGTGCTTGCCTTTTCCTGCTGCCCAGGCCACCATAGGACTCTGGGTAAGTGCCACCTCCTCGGGGTCTCCCTTGCCCCAGCTGCACCCCAGGTGATGGGCTGCAGATGACGTGCAAGTGGGCGGCCTGGCCTGCTGTCACTGGCCCTTAGGCAAGGCCCCTAAGACTGGTGGGGGAGGGGACACCTGGTGGCAGAGGGCCTGTAGGGCTGGGATCCGTTACCTCCCCCAAGTCCTCCCTGCAGCTGGGAGGTCCCGGGGCAGGGGCTTGTGAGCGTTTCAGACTTTGTGGCTCCTCTTGGCCATGGCCTCCTGATGGTGCTGGGCAGGTCCCCATGTCCCGGCTGCTGCTGCTTTCTGCCACGGGGTGAGGCAGGGGGTTTCTGCTGCCCACAAGAAGGGGTGGGGGGTGAGGGCAGGCGGATTCTGTGATGGGATCGGGTCTGCAGGGCCCTGGGGAGCAGGTCCTGGGGTTGGGGTGCTTGGCTGGCCTAGTCAAGGCTCAGAACGCTCTCCTCCTCGGGGCCGGCTGCCGGCCGATGGGGCGGAGGGGGCTTCTGGGGCCTGGGGATGTCCGTCTGCTCTGCGGTGGCAGTCTGGGTCTCTGGGTCCAGCTCTGCGACAGGGCCCTCCTGCCCGCGGCGTGGGCGGCAGGCAGCCATGCTGTCCGCAGGCACAGCCCGTGTCTGAATTTCGGAGTAGCGGTGCCGATGCCCAAACCAGGTGTGCGTGTCTGAGGCCAGGTCGGTACCTCCCTGATAGGTTGGGGGTGGCGGCGGTCTGTTAGGGGCCCAGAGGCTCTGGCTGTACCCTGGGTGGTTGTCGGGCCTGTCTCCCGCCCCCCGCATGACCCCAGTGGGTTTTGTGGAGTCTGGCCTGTTGGAAGGGAGGGCAAGGGGAGATGTAGGTCGACCGGACCTGTCTGGAGAGATCCTTCTGGATCGCAAGCAGACACGTGTAGGACTCTGTCTGGGGCAGAGGGATGTGGCCACAGCGCTGAAGGGCCGGAGGGGCCTTGGAAGCCAGGTGGTCCGCGTCCCAGCTGCGGCCCCAGGCCCGGCCTTCTGCCTGTGGTCGGGGGCTCGTCTCCCTTCTGGCTGCCCGGAGGACCCGGCCATGGCCTCTCCCTCCCCTCCCCCAGCAGTGCTGGCCAGGTTTTTGCGTGGAGCCTGACGGGGGGGCTGGAACTCATGACCCTGAGATCCAGACATGAGCTGAGAGCAAGAGTTGGGCTCAACCAACTGAGCCACCCAGGCGCCCCCCCCCCTTTATTGTTATTATTTTTTTAAGAAAGATTGTATTTATTTATTTGAAAGAGGGAGAGTGAGAGAGACAGCATGAGACGGGGGAGAGCCAGAAGGCGAAGCAGGGTCCCCACCGATGAGGGAGCCTGATGCGGGACTCGATCCTGGGACTCCAGGATCATGACCTCAGCCGAAGGCAGTTGCTCAAG